AGTGGCTATGATGTGGCTTTTCATTGTGATTTTTATTTGCATTTCCCAGCTTGAGATTTGATAGCTTTTCATGTGTTTTTTTGTAAATGCTCCTTGGGGAAACTTGTGTTCAGATCTTGTATCTGTATTTAACTTGGGATCTTTGGGTTCTAATAAAGTCAGCATATATACTAGATACAGATCTCCCATCAGGATATGTGATGTGCAACAATTTTCTCCTTTTAGGCTGTGTTTTCACTTTCCAAATAGAAGGCTCTGAGGTATGATTTTTTAAAAAAATTTTGATTGATTTGAATGGCAGGGTTAGAGAGAGTTACAGAGAGGAAGAGAGAGATGAAGTGGGGTTGGAGGAAGAGAGAGAAAAAGAGAGATAGAGCTTTTTAAATCTACTGGTTCACTCTCCAAATGGCTGCATGAGCTGAGGTCTGGGCCAGGCTCAAGAGGAGCGCTGGACTCCATCTGGGTCCCCCATGTGGGTGCAGCGGCCCAGGTACCTGGGGCATCTTACGCAGTTTTCAAAAGAGCATTTGCAAGGAGTAGGACAGGAAGTGTAGCAGCACGGACTCAAACTGGTGTCCATTTGGGATGTTGGCATTGTGGGCTGTGCCTTAACCCACTGAACCATAGTTCCAGCCACTGAACTATTGTATCTAGTAAAAGTTTGCCCCACCTAAGTTCACCAAGATTTGCTCTTATGTTTTCTTCAGATAGTTCTCTAGCTTTAACTTCTCTGCCTAGGCCTGTCTTCCATTTAATTCTTGTAAGTGGTATAAGGAAGATGCTTGACTCCAGTCTTTTTCAGGCAAATATGGGTTTGTCCTTGCAATATCTGCAAAAAGATTACTTTTTCTCTGTTAAAAATGAGGTGTTTTTTTGGGTAATTAAATTAAATGACTTGTTTCTGAATTCAGTCCAATTCAGTGATCTATATATCCATCACCATAATTTTTGGTAAATAGCATTGTAGTACATTTTGAAATTGTGAGATGTGAATCCTCTAGCTTTTCGAAGGTTGTCCTGAATTTTTGGATCCTTTAAATTTCCATAGAGTTTTAGAAACAACTACCTCCTGTACAACAGCTAGGAGCTTGCACTGAATCTGTAAATCAACTTGGGAATGATTGTCGTGTTATTCATAATAGACCAGAATACCTTTCTATCCGTGTATTTCCGTTAATTAGGACTTGCTTAGTGTTTTCAGCACTGTTCTGTAATCTTCATAGTATAGGTTTTACACTTCATTTATAAGATTTAATCATGAGCATTTTATGTTTTTATGTATTCAGTTGTCTTTTTCATGATTTTTTTTTTTACATATCCGTATTAATCCCGGTTCTTTTTTTTGTCTCGTCTCCCCTGTTTATACCGTGTATTTTTAACCTCTGTCTTTTGTTGTTGTTGTCCTGTTTTAATTTCAGTGCTTTTTTGATGACACGAAGCATTCAGTCAGCATTTGACTTCTTTGTTGAGACACAGCTTGCTGATTTTGTGCCAGGTGCAGAGACAAAGCTGCTGAGGCTAGCCAGTTCCTTAGTGTCTTGTGTCCTCGCAGAGGAGACACAGATACAGCACCTTGAGTTTAATACAGTAAACCACAGAGTGGTGTGGCCGAGGCATCAGGGACTGTTACAGAGGGTAACTCAGGCTTGATTTCAGACATTGGTAAGGGTTTTAGTCAGGTCAGTAGCAAGAGGGTACATGGAGTCAGGGATAAAAGTGCTTGGCAGGTTTCTAAGAGGTGCATGGGCTTATGTGGTGCCAGTTGGGTGAGCATCATGGCCAAAGATGCTGTTACAAGTGTTTTGATGAATTAGTGGGCGCTGGAGACTACATGGCTGTCAGAAGATTCTTTCCAGAAAGCAGTGGTGCTGCTGATTAGATCTCGGGGCATGGGGAGCTGGTTGGCATTTATTAGGGGTGAATTGCAGTACTGAGTGACGAGGGGTCACGTCCATTGCCATGTCTAGGGTGGAGAGGTGAGGGTCGTCACTGGGAGAGCTGTGACATGAAGGTCCTTCAGAAAGTTCATGGATTCATTTGTTTGGGTACAAAATTGCTTTGAAATTCAGGCACAGCATTTCACAAGCCACATTCTCCAGAAAAGTTTTTGAGCCCTCCCCTTCCCCCCCCCCCGCCCCCATAGAATGGAGAGGAAGAGTTGAGTTTTGATTCAGACAGATTCTCTTTGCTTCAGGGAGATGCCAGGGGAACACACAGAGCTTGGGGTGACTTGGAGGCATCTCAGGTTTGTCCGATGAGCAGTGGTTGTTCTGGCTGGTTGGTTAGTTTGTGCTGAATGGTTTCCCTGGGCATGAATGAGTGAGTCATTGATGATGCGGCCTGTCTCTCGACCTTTCTCCCAGTGCCTGCCACCTTGCTGATAGCCCCATATTGGGTCTGTCTTGCTAGGCCAACCCTGACACTGGGGCATCTTGTTGGTCTCAGCTCAGGTATGGTCCAAGAAATATTCTAGTGGCCAACAAATACTCTAGTTTCTTGGGAAATCCTGAGGACAGCAGCCTCCCCCCCCCCCCCCCAATCCCCAGAAACCCAGTCCAACACAGCCGGGCCTTGCTGAGGCAGGTGAGCAGATGGTGGTGGGGAGACGGCATCTCCTGAGAACCAAGTGATTTTTGTTGTCATTGTGCAGACATGACAAAGCCTTCTGCGACTACAGCTGCTGTGACATCTGCAGATCCGTGTTGCAGGAGCAGTCCGTGGAAAGTCGTCTGGGCCTGTGTTTGAGCTTCTTTGTACAGTATAGCCCGGGACCGTTTCGCTTTCTCTCCTAGCATTTTCAGATTCTTTGTTTAACCTGATAGTTCCTGATGTTTGTTTCTGGACCATTGTTTTAGCTGTCAGTCTTCCATTATGACAGATTAAAAACGAAAAGGTAACTTATTTTTCCTCTTCTGCCTCTTCTGCTCTTTCCTCTGCCTCCCAGACCTGCATCTGTGCGTTCAGCCCTGTTGAAACCGCTGGCCAATTCCCAGAGAGTTAGGATGATAGAAATCTTGGTTCTTTCCACTTTTTTTGCATGTTTCCAGAACTCTTGTTCTTGGATTGATTTTTTGTTTTAAAGATTTGTTTATTTTAAAGGTAGATTTCAGAGAGAGAAAAGGAGAGAGAGAGATGGCTTCCATCTCCTGGTTCACTTCTCCAGTGGTGCAGTGGACAGAGCTGGATCAGTGCAAATCCAGGACCCAGGAGCTCTTTCTGGTCTCCCACGTGGTTCAAGGGTCCCAAGGACTTGAGCCATCCCCTACTCTCTTCCCAGGCCACAAGCAGAGAGCAAGATTGGAAGTGGATCAGCCAGGATTTGAACCACTGTCCTTGTGGGATACTGGCACTGCACAAGGAGCCTTCACTTGTTGTGCCATTCCCAGATTGATTCCTGCTCATGGCAGCCCATTCTTTTCCCTCTCTGTAGTTATCAGTTTGGTATCAGGTCTTAGAATACCTTTTGAGTGATGGTTTGTTTCTTTTTGCCACCTGTGGTTTGTCATGGCTATGTGACAGCACTTTGTGGCCTGATGTCTTCACGGCAGACACAGGTTCTCCTGAGGCCCAGCACCTCAGGACTGAGGGTGAGTCCCTCAGGCTGCTCTTCTGAGGCTCTGTCCCCGGCCTGGGGCTGCTGGCTTCTCCTCTGTGCGTGCTTGCCCAGGTTTCTCTTCCCGTGAGGTCATTGTCCACTCACTGGATTGAGGCCAATCTCGTTTAGCTGTGTTGCCCCTTTAAAGGTCCTGTTCCTACCTAACAGTCATGTTCTGGCAGGTATCTAGGACCAGGACTAACATGAGATGTGACCAGGCAGGGTAGTGTGGTTCAGCCCCCTGACGCTTGAATTATCTGTTTGCTCTGGGTGTCTCACTTCCATCTCTCCTCTACCTCTTTCTGTATGTCTACTGCACACACACATAGCCACACATACATGTTTTTTTCCATTGTCCGTCTTGTCATCCTTAAGGCGTCCGGGTTGAGGATGAGCTGCCTGCAGTTGGTTTGGTTTATTGTGTGTGTGTGGGGGGGGGGGCGGGGCGGTGTGGCTTGCCCATAAGTGACTTTTCTGTCAGATGGCTTGTCCCCGTTTTGGGGGAGGGGTGCGTGCATTCCAGGACCTCTTGGTCATTTTTTCCCCTGGGTTCTCTGGTTGCCCCGGAGCTGTGTTCTGATTGTCTTCACTGGGTGGAGCTGGGAGGCAGACCTCACATGCCTGGGGAGGTGCTGGGAGCACAGGAGTGGAGAGGAGACCCACTGGACACTGGACAGCTACCCAGGAACCCCCGCTCTCGGCCTGTCCCCCAGCCCTCCTCGCACCCGTGCTGTACCTGGTGTCCCCGAGCTGGTCCTCTTGTCTGGTGTCTCCAGAAACTGGGCGTTTGATTCTTTCTGCCTGCGTGTTGAAGCATCTCCCTTGTCAGTCCGTGAGGATCTGTGACCAGCCAGTTTCCGCTATTTCTGCCCTGAGCCTCACTCATCCTTGCCTTCTGGGACCCACTTGATGCCTGCCCTGAGCACCCGAGAACTTCTGCAGTGCCCGCTGTGTGCTTGATACTGTGACCGCTAAGGAACCTGTACAGATTTCACAGATGGCCTTAGAGTCCAGCCCTGAGCTCCGTTTTCCGTACCGGAAGACAGGCGTTTAGAACAGAATTCACCAGTTGGAGACATGAATTCAAGCACAGATTTCTACTCCCCAGGTGGTAAAAGAGTGTTCACTATACTTTCAGGATTCATTGTGATACAGGCGTGGCTAACAACATTTGATCCTGGCTGCTGCTCTATTGGAAATTCTTAGAACATCATTATCCTGATGTACTTCTTGTAGCACTAAGTAGTGTCCTTAGCACCCTAAGAGTTTCTCAACATTGACTGATACACAATTGCTGAAAAACTCAACAGTCTTGTTTCTTGATATTGGACGTCCAAGAGACATTTCCATATTGTGGTTAACACTCTTTGCAGTTGGCACTCACCTTCTCCTTGTGGTTTAACAGGCTACTTCTGTAACTGGATCGCCAGTTTGAGCCAGGAAGCGCCATGTCTCGGGTACGACAGCCTCCGCTCGTGACAGGCATCTCTCCCAACGAAGGCATACCATGGACCAAGGTCACCATCCGAGGGGAAAACCTGGGCACAGGTCCCACAGACCTCATAGGTAAGGGCTGCGTATGAAGCGGTGTTCCGGCTGAGCAGCCGCGTTGAGGCAGGGTGTGTGGAAACAGTGAAGGGTTACAAAACAGCACGGTGGTCTCTTGGAATGAAAAGTGAAAGCGTTCCGTGAGCGACCCCGTACTGCCAGTCCTGTCTGGATGGAATCCCGCTAGAGTGTCCCTGGCTCAGCTGCGTCTGCCCTCTTGCCCCATTCCTTCGCCCTCACTCGCCTCTGTTGGTGTTTTCCCCGTCTCACAACTGCTGTTCCCCATCAGGAGCTCTGGGTGTGACTCAGCGCCTCTTCCCCTCTCCTGCTCTTCCCAGCAGAGCCGCAGGACTGCAGGACGTCCTCAGGGGACCAAAGCCCTCGGCTTCTGGTTCCCCTCTTGATCCTCACGTAGAGCAAGCTGGGAGTTTAGTTCTTATCCTGTCTGGCATGGTTTGAGTTCAGGGGGCTTGAACGAGAAGATTGAGACGTTGGTCTACATGACACAGAGGCCCTTTACCACTGGCTTCCCTCCAGCTTGTTTATCTGAAAGGCAGAGTGACACAGAGAAAGACAGATGTACAGATGTCTTCCGTCTGCTGGCTGACTCCCCGGATGGCTACAACACCTAGTGCTAAGCAGGTCAGGAGACAGGAGCCGAGCCCAGGCCCTCCAGGGAGATCAGGGACCCACCTTGTTACTTGGGCGTCGCCTGAGTGTGTGTTAGGAGAGAGGCGGAATCAGGCTCAGGCTGCACCCACAGCCAAGGCATTCCGACACGGGCCGTGGGCATCTTGGCCGCTGCACCCAGCGCCCACCCTGTCTTGATTTTCGTCATAGCGTGTTGCAGATGTTTCTCTGCCCAAGTGGAAAAAATCCCCAGAATGCTCGGAAATATATAGATGAAAGCTATGTCCGAAATTTTAACTGGCAGTACTTGTGAGTGCCAAAACATGACAGTTACTACTCTGTGTAAATTTTAATCTCGCTGTAGCTTCAGGCAGTGCTATTCTTATTTGACTAAGTGTGTATTACTTTTATAAACCTTGCTGGTTCAGCTTTCAACCTGCCTCATGTATTGCCAAGAAACCATTTTTTAAAAAAGCAAACGTAGCCTGCTAAATAATTTAAGTGTTTTTAACTCAGATGATCTCAGCACTAGCCAAGTAAAACACTATAAAAAGTACTTTACTTGGAACTCTACGAGTTACTTTGTTTAAAAAAAAAAAAAGGAGCGATGCTATTATATTTCTTGAAGCAGATTTCTTAGCTTTTAGTAATTAGCGAAAATGTGTATAAGAAGTGAAGAAAGAGGTCTTATGATCTTAGTTTTTTCTAAATAAGATTCAGAATGATCTGTCAGAATCTGTGCTCCAGTTATGTGATTTTTTTTTTAAGTTTTGGGGTGAAAAATACAGATCTAGTTTTAAATCAAAGAAACCTTGGAAATAGGTATGGCTGGCTGAATGGCCAGCTTAGCCCATGGGGAGTTTTGTGCCAACTCGGGCCTTCGTGGGCGTTGCTCACAGTGACTTGTGTCAACGTGTCCTGACGACTCTATCTTGAAAACCCTTCCCATTTCTCGGTTTGATCACATGATGGTTTTTGAGCAGAGCACTTATTGGAAGTGTTTTTTTTTTTTTTTCATGAGGCCCCTGTTTGTATTTTTATATCAAAGTTTACTGCTGAGCTATTCTCTTTTTTGAAATGACATGAAATTGAAAAAAAAAAGTCACAAGAACCTTGTGATTTTTACAAAGTTAAGAATACTAAGTTGTATGTTGACCTGTAGTGATGTAAAAATATCTACCATCTATATAGTTAAGCAGGATTACAAAGTCGAGCAGTTCTGATTAATTTTTAAACATAAGTGGTCCGCTCCGCATGCGTGCAGTTACTCAAGCCGACTGGGCGCCTCGAAGGCGGGCTTGTCGTGGGAGGCTTGGGTCTTTCATAGCAGAAATTATCAGGAAGCCTTTCAAAGGCGTTACCATCGCAAAAATACTTCTCAATCACAAATGTATTTAAAATGTCAATACAGATGAACAATACCACAGAACACGAAGTTCTAAAGGCACACTTAACACTATTATTTTAAATTTATGTAAATGAAAAAAAAGATAACAGTTACTTAAAATAAATTATTTGAAGCAGTGTGCATATGCTGTAGTCCCAGGTCTGCCCTCATGTCAACGCCGTGCTTGGCTCACCTGGGGAAGCAGCAAGTCCTGACTCTGCTGCCTGGGTGCCCGACACCCACACAGTAGGCCTGCCCTGCAGGGCTGCACCCGGCTGCCAGCCGGCCCTGGCCCGTCGACTGGGCGTTTGGGGAGTGAATCAGGGGCATAGGCACACTCTGTTTCTCCTTCAGCGTCTGTCTCTCCGTCTCTCTCTCTCAAAGACATAAGTAGATAAAAGTAATTGTTTTTATCCCTTAAGGTTAGTAGAAGTTTTTTGCCAAACGAAATGTCCGTTGAAATCTTCTCTCCATTTTTAAAAGCAAATTTGCCGTTAATTGAGGTATTCCCGGTATCCGAAACAGAGAAAAAAAAAATCACTGTCATTTCCAAACTTAACTGCTGGGCAGTTTTCAGATTTAAATCATGAGAGAAGAAAAGTTTGAGGAGTCTGTGCCACCCACATTCTGGTGTATTTATTTTTTTCCCCCAGGAACATTTATTGCGCTGGCCTCTGATTTGCAGACATGGAAATTGCAAAGGGCAGATGTCGGAAGGCTGGCCGGCCAGCGCGGTGCTAGATGAGCTGGTGCTGTCCGCCTGGGGGACTCACCTTGGCCGCTGCCGTGTCCTAGGGCCCACTGGGCCGGTTATAGCCGAGCTTCCATTGTCTGGGGGCATCCCGGGTGGGAGCTGCCCTGACTGCCTGCTTACTGTCAGAGCAGCACGCAGCACGGCGGCCTCTCACTAGGAAAGCACCCAGGCAGCCTGGTTTCTGCCGGAGGTCTTGACTGACGCCGGGGAGAGACACGTCGCTGAGTAGTGCCTGATGACATTTCATGTAATTTATGCTTAGTATGTGATCCTGAATACTGTGTGTGGTCTAACACTTGGAAAAGCACCTGCAGAGTATTTCCACGTGCTGGATGAACATGGTATCTTGTTAGGGAGTGGTGCATCTACCACCGCTAACTGTCTTGAAACTTCCCTGTCATTCACTTACTTTGAATAATAGCAGAAGTCTCCCTTGTGATTCTTAAGGATCGTGTGATGGAGAATGCCCTGACCGGGGGGGGGGGGGGGGGGGGCAATGGCCAGTTAATTACTGGAACATGGCTTAGGGTCCACAAAGGAATGTCTGATAGAAGCATGAGGTCAGTTAGGAAGGCGTAGACAGCAGTGTGTTGGCAGAGCTCATCCGGTATGTGCGGGACGGTAAGAACAGGCGCCGTTCCCACATCAGTACCCTTCTCAGCTCGGCTGTGTGTGCCTCCCCAGGCCTGACGATCTGCGGACACAACTGCCTCCTCACGGCGGAATGGATGTCGGCGAGCAAGATCGTGTGCCGCGTGGGGCAGGCCAAAAACGACAAAGGAGACATCATTGTCACAACTAAGTCGGGTGGCAAAGGGACCTCCACGGTGTCGTTCAAACTGCTGAAACCCGAAAAAATAGGTAGGACTTTTCCTGGGCTGAGCCTGCGCTTGCGGGGGGTGGGACTGGGACGCTGGTGAAAATCGGCAATGCATTTTCCAAGGGCAACTCGGCGAGCCGGCAGTGTGTGGGATCTAAGGACTAAGACTATTTCACATTCTATGCGAAGTGTGTCCGGGTAACTTTCTCATTGTTGGTCATGTGATGACAGGACACTTGAACTGCCGCTCGGTGAAGCGTGGTGGGGCTGTGTGCTGGTCATCTGGCTGCAGCGGCAGTAGTCTTCCCATAGAGTCCCTGTCCCTTTGAGGCCCAGAGGCCCCATGGCCTGACGGGGTTCCACCCTTGTCTCTCCAAGCCAGCATGCTCCCTTGCATGCCACAGTCCGTTTTTGTGTTTCTTTTTTGGCCACTCACCTCCTGTCACCACGTGCTGGCAGGGGCTGTGAGCTTGGTCCAAGGAGCTGGGCTTCTGTCACAGCCAGCTGTGTAATCCAAAGCCCAGTTTCTGCGTGGGTAAAACTGTGGTGTTCTGTCCCACCCCTTTCCTCCAGGATCAGTTGGGTTAGAACCCAGTGTACGGCCACTGCAGGGCAGTTTTATTATTTAACTGTTAGTCTCCAGATGCCGTTTCCTTTCTAAAATACGAGTGTTGTCAGATTGGTCCCTGTGGTCCTCCATGCAGCCAGTACTTGGCAGCTTGTGATGTGTGATGCAGGCACGTGGAAGGTGTAGTTAAGCTCAGCCAGTCATTCTCTTTACATAGGGAAAGAAACCGTACTTCAACAGGAAGCGATTCTGTGGATGTCTTGTTTCTGGAGCGTTATCCTCCACGTATTTGTACAATTTTCTTTCAAGCTTATTTATTTGAAAGGCAAATGACAAAAAGAGAGAGAGGGGTATCTTCCCCCCACTGGCTCACTCCTCACATTGGCCATAATGGCCAGAGCTGGGCTGGTCTGAAGCCAGGAGCCTGGAGCTCCATCTGTATCTCCTGAGCTGTCTCGCTCTGGCTTCCCAGGTGCATTAGCAGGCAGCCTTCCAGGACTCAGATGCCCGATTTTTAAATGTTGTATGCCGTGCCACGTCAGACCCTAGAACTTTCTTTTTAAATAAAAACTTAAAAGAATTTAAGCGAAGATTCAAAGAGGATTCTATACATATGCGTATAAATGTACATTCATACATATATTCTGAGTCATTACTGTCCCCCCTCATTGAACAGCTTAACAGCCTAACCGAAGAAGTGCAAGGTTAGAGCCACGTTTTTGGGGAGGGGTACATTTTTTTCTGGAGAACCTTAAAAAAAAATACTTGTTAAAATTCAGCCTCATCTTGCAACATCATAAAAATATGTGATATTGAGGGTTTACCCTCTCCAACACCCAGCCCACAGCTGGCATCTCACAGGATCTGCGGGGACTGATGGAACTGGCTTCAGGAATGCCCAATTAACCATGTTGATTTCCTGTAGTGACTCAGGGTGATACAGGAAGCAAAAGTGTGTTGTTTCAGACTCGGGAGAGTCTGAGCCCTGAGAATGGTAAAGAGAATAAGAGGTGGCAACGAGTATTATTTAGCGCAGTGTCATGAAAACATGGAAGGAAAGGCCTTTATTGAGAGCTTTCAGTTGCCTTTGCTCTGTCGATGGCTGATTAACTTAGGAAAACAAATTTGAAAAGAATAAATATAAACGTACATGCATAACGTGTTCAGCATTCATCACTGGCAACAGGCCTGTTACCCCGTGATGCTTGGCTTGCATGTGTTATGCCTAGCTAGATCGTAGTAGCCTTTCCAAAAGCTTATGAGTTTACATGGTCTCTTGAGTAAAAGCAACGCAAAACAAAACAAAAAAACATAGCAAGGCATATATTGCGTTTCATTTATTTATTGCTGATTTGCTCAGTGATGTTTACCAAGTGCATAATTAAAGTGATTATGGTGATTTCAGTATTTTTGATGTGTGCAAAGAAGAACCTTTGTTTTAGTAGCACTGTTTTCTCAGCAGCTTACTCGGTCTTCTGCTCTGAGTAATATACAGGAAGGCTGCAAACCGAGAGACGTTGCTTTTTTGTCTTTATAGAGTTTCAGTGTTTTTCAGCTAGGCCACTAGCTCTTGAAACAAAGGTCTGATGGCTTTTACCCTTCGACCCCTGCGGAAGGGTCCTCGGGGGCCCTGGGGGAGTGAGCTGACTTGAGGCCCGGCCATCTCTTGCTCAAGACTGCGCTTCCCTGTCCTCCAGGCATCTTGGATCAGTCGGCCGTGTGGGTGGACGAGATGAATTACTATGACCTGCGCACCGACAGGAATAAAGGCATGCCCCCCTTATCCCTGCGCCCTGCCAATCCTCTCGGCATTGAGATCGAAAAGTGAGTACCCCTGGGCACTTCACCTGTCTCCTTGCTCTGCAGCGGCTGGAAGTTTGCTGGACTTCAGACATGGCTGGGGAGGCTCATTTGGAGACAGCTGAGGCCCTTGGGGACAGATGAGTGTTATGTCGGCAAGGTGTTGGGTGTGTCCACAGGTGGCCGGATATCCATCACTGGTTAAAACTGTGGGCAGAAGCTTCTTATGGCTTTAACGGAGTTTTAATTCTGTGTTTAAGAAAAGTCCTGAAATCTTAACAGATAATTCTTTTTTTCTAATGACATGAGTGTTGCATTTTGTCCAGAGTTGGAAGGTTTCTCTGCTTAGACAGAACTTGAAATAAAAATAAAATCCACAATCTATCCATTTGCTTGATTTTTCTAGAAATGCTTTAGCATGATTAGGTTCACCCTGATTTTTCATGCCTGTCATGCTTGCAGCATCTAGACTTCTGTTGTTTTCATCAGGAGGTTATGCAAGGTGTCTTGAAGATGATTTTGTGGCTGGATTTTTGTGTTTTGTTTTGTTTTTGCCTGGTTCCTACTATACTGCTTTACTCGTTATTTGCTTCTGAGATGAACACCTTTGTCCTTATTTCTTATGTATTAATCTTACAACCTATCTAATATACTAACTAGTGAATGTTGTTCCTTAAACATTTATTCAAGGTGACCAGTTGCTTCTTGTCATATCTTAATAATTACAGCTTTGTATTTACAATTTTTTTTTCTGGTAATGAGGCAAATTCTGCACTAATTGTTACATGTCCATCCTTCACACCAGCTCATGAAGATCCCACATCGTTCAGACATCCTGTGTCAGCCCCCGGCTGAGGGAGAGGCAGCCTGTTGGTCTTGGGTAGGGAGCCCCTGCTGAGGCATTCCTGTGAGCTGGGCCTGCCCTTGGTATGGTGGGCCCTTGCAGGGCTCTTTGGAGGATTCCAGAGCCTCGTAGACTAGGAGTAAGGATGGACAAGGACTGGAAAGCAGTGGTGGCAGCTAGAAGTTTGTGTGGGGACACTGTCAGGTGACTCGGCTTGGCCTGCCTCAGCAGAAGTGGAGCAGGGCTGGGGTGCGGGGTGCGGAAGGCTTTCACCTGCGCTTACTTATCCCTTAGGCAGCTTTGTGCACAGGCCATTGTGGCTTGTTGGCCTGCTGTGTGCCACTCAGGACAGAACCAGCAGAGTCAGGTTTCAACCGGCTGGCTGCTTAGCTCTGGTGAAACCTGGGTTGTGGCAACCTTGTGTGTGTGTGATCCCTCCCCTGTACCCTTTCCTGGTCCTCTCTCCTACTGTCCCTCTGTGGCTGTCCAGCTGTGCCACCCACAGGGAGTTTGGCTGGGAGGATCCTGAGCAGCACCTGTCGGGCCCTGTTGCAGGAGAATCCTTCGGTGAGGATGTAACACTGGCAAGGAGCCGGGGCACCCTAGGTGCGCAGTCTTCGAGAAATTTTCCTTTTCTTTCTTGGAGAGGCAAGTGAGTTCTCTCTGGGGCCAGACTCCCTGGGCACAAATCTGGCTTTGCCACTTAACTGAGTAGGCCGCTCGCCTTCTCTGTGCAGTCTGGAACAGAGGACCTGCTCCAGGTGTTGCCCTGATTGAGAGAGTGAAGAGAGCGCTAGCAAGTGTCAGCCATCACTGCCAGGATCCCTTGCTCTTCTTGGAAGTGTAATCCTCATTGCTCTGACTCACAAGGAAAGAAATCTCTTTTTAGTGGTATGAAATTGCAAAGTGATAAATTGTATTGAATCTTGAAATAGCAGGTGCTTTTATTCAAGATATACTGAAGCCAGGACAGGATTAGTACATTTCTCCTTCAGGCTATCCCTACTATTTACTCAGCTGTGGAGTAATGCAAAATATCACAGCATCATTTTTTAAAAGTAAAATACCATGCCTTTTAAATATAAGATGAGCAAACACCAGGTTTCTGGAAATGCATTCACTAATAGGAGTGAGGAGTAAGGTATCCAGACCAGCTCTAAGAGGGGTCCAGGGGAGAGCGTCAGCAGTGAGAACGCTCAGCACAGCAAAGCTGGCTGCGTCTGTGGGCCAGGGGTCTGACCTCGTGGTCCATTTAGAAGAGAGCCAGGATGGCAGGATGCAGCAGGGATGTGAGAGAGAAGAGCAGGTGGGGCCAGAAACATGCTTTTCTAAATTGCTTTTCAGAGCAACTTTAAGTTTCAGATACTGTCAGGAAAGCTGCACTTTATTAACAACTTTAAGCTCTGGTGGGGAAATGTTATTAAAGAGTCAGGAAGAAAAAGGTAAAATATCAATGTGGGTTTTAGTTCCCTGATGTACTTAATATTTGGTTAACATTGATTGATTGATTGAGAGAGTAAGCATGTATGTGCAGCCCACAGTGGTTGAGTCTAGTGGAGTCCAAGTTTGGAGCCACTCAAACCTTCTCCCATGTGGGTGCTAGGAACCCAAACACAGGGGCGATCACCTACTGCTTGGCAGGGTCTGCACCAACAGTGGGTGTGTTAGGAGCACAGCTGAGCGAGCTGAGGCACTCTCACATCCCACCTGTTAGCCCTGATGCCCACCCCTGACTCCGTGTTCAGATGACGGGGTTGCATTCAGCCATTTGTTTCTGTTCCCCCATTGTTACTTGGAAGCATCTATGTAGTGAGAAGCTTGGTGAAAACTTCGTTTTTTATGTCAGGGGAGGGGTGGTGTGGGGGTGCAGCCAGGGTGGCTCTACTTTCTCTACCTCTGAGCAGAGTCCCTGTTACTCTACTTTCAGTCCAGCTTCTTGCTAATGTGCCTGGACTGCAGGAGATTCCCCAGGGAGTAGGGACCCTGGCCCCGCTCGGGAGACTGGGATGGAATTCCTGGCTCCTGGATTTGGCGTGGGCCAGCCCCAGATGTGGCGGCCATTTGGGGAGGTGAACCAGTGGATGGAAGTCTCCTCTTTTCTCGTTCTTTCTCTTTCCCTCTCTCCCTCCACGCGCATGCGTGTGTGTGTGTGTATCTGTATGTTTTGCTTTGCAAGTAATTTTTTTTTTAAAAGTAGAGAAGGAATAACAGAATTTTTTCTGTTGCTTGCTCATTAAGATGTATGAGTTAAGGAGGGTTGAGGACTTGCAAGCCCTTGTAACGGACTCTTCACCTGCGGTCCTGGTGCGTTAGCAGATGAAGGTGGGCAGGCGGCCTTGGGAGAGGGAGGCGCTCTGCTGACTTGAGCTGTGCATGTGGGACAGGAATCCTCCGCAAGGACCATGCCCAGCCTGCAGAGGGCATCAGCCAGGGGCTTCAGGTGTTGTGCAGTTCCTCTGAAAGTGAAAAAGTACCACCACTTCGCTTACTTCTTGCTCTCTGGACTTGTATAGACATTTTATTGGTGGGCCCAGCACACACACTGTCATCTTTCACCCTGCATGTTTAACAACTGGCATTTACTGGCCGCCTTAGTCCTTCATACACCTACATTTTCAACTGAGATTTTTGCACACATGGTACAGTAATACTTATAAAAATGTTACTAATTGCTAGAAAAAAAATAGCTTCACTTTGATTTGAGACTAGAGTTTTCTTGCAATAGGTCTGTATTTCTGATTTATTATGTCAACTGTCACAAGCATGTATTGTTTGCATGGCTCTGACTGCAGTGCAGGCAAACTATTGAAGCTGAGAAAGAAGGGAAAATTGAGTTCACCTTAAGCAGAAATCTTTAGCTGATTTCCCTCATAAGGAGACTATTTCTAAGTCTCGTCGGGGAGAAATTAGCGTCCATGGGAGTGGGGACAGAGTTTTGCTCTTGGCTGCTCTGTGAACATTGAGTCTCTGTGAGACAGAGGGAGAGAGTATTGAGAGAATTATTGCCTGGGACTGGCTGTTCAGATGGTCAGTTAGCGCACTCTGATAATCCGTTTTATTCTCCAGGAGTGTCCTGGACATTGCAATTCTGATGTTTTCCTCATCAATTTTCATTTCCAACAGAAAGGCACCAAAGATCAATCTTTTCTCTGCATTTTAAGAAAGGAAGCGAGATAGTAAAATAATTCTTAGCAGGAGCGTAGTTGAGAAGAACTTTGGGTGAATTCACCCTTTATAATGTTGTGAAACAGATGAGTGGGCCACAATAGCACCCACGTTCAGAGGCTCTGCCATACCAGGAAACGAGGACCCCAGACAAAGCGTTTAATGTAGCAGGGTACATGATGGGGCTCGGAGTTTAACAATCTCGCGTGCACATGCAGATCTACACAAGGTCAGGTTCAACAGATTACCGCCCACTTCCATCTTTATCTGCCAGACCAAGAAAACCGTGTTTTTTCAGTGTAACCAGCCCTTAGGGTACGTGGTCCGGCTAGGGCATCCCCACAGGGTTGTTCACCCTTTGCCACGTGGCTCATTGTTGAATACCCTTCTCAGACTCCCAGCAAAGGACACACATTCCTGTTCCTTTGAGATCCACCCTCTCTGCCCTTCCACTGGCGCGTCCCGCCCTGGCCTGGGGCTCACCATTTTGTAAGAGGTTGAAATTTTAGCTTATACTGCCATCTAATGGAAAGCATATTTTTAAGGATTTTTCGATGACAATATTTTGTGATGTTCCCCGTTACAGCACAAACTGCTTTCTGTCCGCAGCTCCGTGGCTGGCATACTTCCAGGGATGGCTTGGTTTGGATCATTCACTTCGTCTTGCTTTTATCGGCATGTTGGGCTGTCGTTCCAGGTGGAGGATTAGAGAACAGAATCGGTTTATTCTGTACAAACGTTTCATTTTTAGCTCTCCACATTTCTTGAGCCGTATTGCCATAGTGTTTCTTCCTTTTGTGTGACTAAATCAGTTTCTCCCTGTCACAGCCCTTCTACCACTTAGAAATTTGTGTTGTGTTTGCCTTTGGCACATAAGAGGCTTTGGTTCATTTGATTGTGGGTCTACTGTTTACACATAACTTTTCTCTGCCCTTTGCTAGACTGTAATATGAAAATGAGAGAACAATTCACTTGTTCTCATGAGAATCAGTGAAAGCATGTTTTTGAGAATAATCTGTGAAATACACAAGTTTGAAATATCCGTGCATGTGTGTAGACACGTGAAATCGGGAAGCATGGGGAACAGTAGGTACCTTTCTGAGCGTGTGTCGTAGCAGAGGCTGCTGACTCTTCCACATGCTCCGTAGTCAGCTGGATCCGTTCCCCTCCCATGCCAGTGGGCCCCTAGCAAGGACATAGCCATAGGCTGAGCAAATGCTGAGCTGGAGTGCAGCCTGCGCCTGCCCACCGCTTGCCATAGCCACTTCCCGAGGAGAAGGCTGTGATGTGTCTTCTGTCCTTTGCTGCTCTGCCGCAAGTGCCAGACCATCAGAGTTCTTTTGGCAGAAACAGAATTTTCTCCTCAAGCCCAGGGATTGTGGATGGCTGGCTCCAGCGCTAGTTGAACCAGGGACGCAAACGTGTCCCTGGGCTGTGAGGAACTGGAGTTGCTGTTTGTTGTCACGAGCACAGACCCAATTGCCCTCATAGTTGCAAAATGGCATTAGATGCCATGAGGTCCAGGGGCCGAACACAGCTGTGTCGAAGGCGTGCAGACCTCTCCTAGAACTCTTTCCTGCCCTCACTGGCCAGAACAGGAACGAACAGCCCCAGGCCTGCTGGCCTGCCTCCCTGGTCTGGCCTTTCCAGTGAGGTGGGGGTGCTGAGCTCTGGCATTCTGCCAGTCAAGGTGGGGCAGGGCCCTGGTGACTCTCAGGTCACCAGCCATCAGCTCATGTTTAAGTGCCAGGTTAGTCCAAGCTTCCTTATGAGATCTGGGGTATGATTTCCCATCTCTGTGTGTTAGAAGTTGGCTGATTTGTATCTTTCAGGCATTCATTCATCTGAGAGAGTTACCACACGGGTAGTGAGACACCCCGAGAGCCATCTTGCACCTGCCGTTTGCTCTTCAGATGGCCGCCCCGGCTGGGGCTGAGCCAGGCCAAGGCCGGGAGCTTTGTCTGGGTCTGCCGTGGAGGTGGCAGGGTTGGGATTAGGGGGCTGGATGAGAAGCTGAGCAGCCAGGCCGCATGCTGGCCCTAGACTGTTGCTGTCTTGTATGTCTGATTCCTGGCCTCGGTCTCACTACCTTCTTCCAGGTTAAGCAGATACAGTTGAAACACTGGTAAGAGTTTTGACACCTTCAGAAAGAACTCCCTGGAAGTGACCTCAGTGCTAGGCTGCCCTGTGAGGATGGAACTGTGACCGAGAGCAGCTGCTTGCACACCCCGTCTCTGAAGGAGCCACACACGCACGGGGGACAAGGCACTTGTGGGTGGGCTGGTGTTTCAGCTCTGAGCTCCAGCCCTCTGGCAGGGGCACATGACCACCCTTCCATTGGCGAGTTCCAGGATGTGTCACCCCTGCTCCTCTCATCCTCACCCCTGTTGGTGGTGCCCTGCCTGTGGTGCCCTGCAGTGTCCCCACAGGATTGATGGGGCAAGGGTGCTGAGCCTGTGGAGAGCTGCCCACCGCAGTGCACGTGGCCAAGCCTGTTCCTGCTCCCTATGGGGGAGTGGTGGTGTTGGGGATTCCCGACAGCCGTACTGGGCCCTCACTAGCTGTTAGAATGTTGTCTTTCTACAGTGGAGATCTGTTTGTATCTTAAAAACAAAAATAATTCAGTGTATCATAAATGCATGCTGCTGATGTTTCAGCATCTGTGGCTTTGGAGAACTGAGTGAGAGGTTCTGGTGACTGCTGAGTTGGACCTTCTAGAACCCTGGTGTCGTCTGTTGGCTGTTACAGATGTAACGGATGGGATCCATCCCATCTCGTTTGTTTTTAGCCAGATACAGTTGAGTTTTGTTGAAGCTTCAGATCTTTGGTGGCTGCGTGGTACTAGCCATTCTGCCGGGTGTCTGATGACCTTTTTCAGCTTCATGCATGTGTCTTATCCATGTTTGTTTGTTTCTGTAGTTATTTTTGTCATTTCTTAATAGTAAGCATCCCTTCAGCCAACTTAGAACATGCCCAGCTTACGGATTTTGCAATGTTCTTTTTTGGCTTCCTCTTTTTTTTTTTTCTCCTCTCAGCTGTGACTAATATGTGTTTGGAATTGATTCCTGTGAGAGGAGGATTTCCTGTCATGGAATAATTCACAAAGGCTTATTGGTAGGGATGTTCCTAGGGGACTGTGTAGTACTTTCCAGCAGTTAAGAGGATGGAACTTTGAGTTAGTAAAGTGTAAGGCATGGCAGGGTGTCCACCTGCTGCTGTGTTCTTCTTCCTCACTCCCAGGACAGCCTTCCATCGGGCTGGCTGGCCGTGCTTTTCCTTCCAGCCACGCACGTGCTGACACAGGCCTCGCTCCCTCCTGCAGCACTCAGCGTGCACACTGCACCCCGTATCAGCTGGAGCGGGGCTGCAGCTGCACATCCACAGGAAGGCTCTGGCTACCAGGCTGCACTGGGTGCGTGGTGGCCTCAGTCTCTGTTCACTTGTTACGCTCCCCGAAAAAACCGGCAACTTAGAAGCCCGGTGAACAAAGAAGCGAGAAAACAAAATTTCCCAAAGATGATGGGACTCTCTTAACCTAGCTTGAAGAATCCAAACCCAAAACCAAACCCAAGCGCACACATACACACACACACACACACACGTGCACACACACACATAAACACATAAACACAGTATCTTCCATCTACTGGTTCATCCCCAAATGGCCAGTGTTAGCTTAGATTTGGGCCAATCCAGAGCCAGGAGCTTCTTCCAACCTCCCTCATGGATGTAAGGGCCTTGGGCTTTCCTCTGCTGCTTTCCCAGGCCTTAGAGAGGGAGCTAGATTGGAAGTGGAGCGGCTGGGACATGAACTAGACCCATATGGGGTGTTGATGCTACAAGGGGAGGATCAGCCTATTGTGGCACCTGACCGAACCCCAAATCCAGTTGTAAAAATGCAAAGGGCCCCTGGTCTATCAGAGCCTGCTGCGTCTCGGGATTGAGGCATGGAGGGGCAGAAGGTGAGTCCTGAGGGGTGAGCACCTCCTGGAGGTGCCCGACTCGAGGCCCGAGCCGCAGCCAGCACGCAGGATGCTGGGGCCAGCAGTGCCTGCCGGGCTGCATCACTTCTGGCAGGGACTACTGGGCTTTTGCTTTTGGATAAGGCTGGGAGATCAGTGTGTCTAATCTATAGTAGATACTAAATGTAAGTGTGTTTACTGAAAGTTGTTATTTTTAATCATGTGTTTATTCCTTTGAAAGGCAGAGTTGTAGAGAGGAGAGACAGAAAGTTTTTCCATCTGCTGGTTGACACCCCAAAAAAATAGCTGCAGTGGCCAGGGCTGGACCAGGCCAAAGCCAGGGACTCCCACCAGGGCTGTCATGTGGGTGCAGGGGCCAAGGCCAGGGCTATGGCGAGCTGCTTTCCCAGGCACGTTGGCAGGGAGCTGGATCAAGTTAGGAATAGTTGGGAGCTGATTTTGCATTGCTATAGGATGTTGACATTGCAGGCGGCAGTTTGACCAGTGGTGCCAGAATACCTTTCCTGAAAGTTGATTTTAAAATTGTGGCTAGGAGGGACCAGCACCATGGTTTAGTTGGCTAGCCTTCTGCCTGTGGTGCTGGCGTCCCACATAGGATCCTCTTTGAGTCTGGCTGCTCCATTTCTGATACAGCTCCCTCTAGTGCTCCTGTTCCCTCAAGTTCTTGGGCCCCTGCACCCGGGAAGGGAGATCTGGAAGAAGCTCCTAGCTCCTGGCTTCAACTCAGCTCAGCTCTGGCTGTTGCAGCCACTTGGGGAGTGAACCAGCAGATGGAAGATCTGTGTTTTTTTTTTTTTCTCTGTATCCTTCTCTCTGTGTAAATCTGCTTCTCAAATCAAAATAAAATAAAAACATTGTGGATAAGGGAGTTGCACATAATACGTATGCTGACCTTTATTGTGGACATGACCATGTAAATGTGAGGGCTGCTTGTTTAGCTCTAGCTTAATAGTATTCTGATCTCTTAGGCATTAGTGTGTCTTTTAAAACCACCTTCAGAAAGGGACTTTGATAAAAAGGCATTTTGACAGTAAGTTAATGTTTTTACACTCCACTCTCCAAATTTTGATTTTTATTCACAGAGTGGGAGATCAATTCCAGTTTGGCTGGGTTTCATGAGTGTATTGAGTCAAGCTGAGTGTTCTAACCATCTTTGATTAAATCTGATATTCATTGATTGATGCGGTTTCTCTATATGAATTCATTTCCTGTCACGTAGGCACACCGCACATGCATGCGTCTTGGGAATTCAGTCGAGACAGGAGAGATGATTTCCTAGGACTGTGTCACCATGCTGTTTGTCGTTGATGCCAGGTGCATGTCCTGTCACGTTTTTTGGGAGCAGCAGCTGACGCGTGGTGCAATCTTCCCCCACTAGGAGCAAGTTTCCGCAGAAAGACCTGGAGGCGCTGTTCCACGGAATGAGTGCCGACTTCACCAGTGAGAACTTCTCAGCCGCCTGGTATCTGATCGAGAACCACTCCAGCACCAGGTCAGTGCGGCGTGGGCCTGCAGGGCGCTCGTGGGGTCCTGCCATGCCCAGGGGGTGCTGCGAGCAGTGGAGGGCGTCTGTTTCCTTGTTTGTAGGATGAGCTCGCTAGCCAGGAGGAGGGCCTTTCTCGCTGCTCTCATTTTGTGTTTCTCTGAGTTTCATGACCTTTCCAGACTGATGTATGATCTTCCAACACCCGCATAACAACGTGAGAATTGTAAAATCTACTGCCAAATGCAGGACACACTGCCTTCCCCAGCCGTAGAGCCAGGCCTGGCAGTTGGCTTGTCATTCCGTAAAGCAGCCCTGTGGTTGACGAGCATGGGGGTCTGGCTAGGCTCTTCCTGTCCTTCTCTGGAGCAGCAGCGCTGAGACTGACCTGGAAGATGGATTTAAAACAATTATTTTGAGTAAAACATGCTTGGGTAAATGAATGGCTTGTTTCTTGAAATTTGGATTCTGATTAGATGTATCCCACCATCTCCCAATAACTGCTTCTTCATTCAAATAAAGATAGAGCCATTAACCTTTTTTTAGGGCAACAAGCTATGTGAAAAATGCAAAAAACTTTTGGTCAGATGTTAACTTTGAGAGAGCTTTTGAAAGGTCAGGAAGTACCACCCAGCGGGTGAGACAGAGATTCATGGATCCGGCTGCTGGGACCTGGAGCTGCGTCAGGAGGGAAGGTTCCGAGTAACGAAAGGAGGAAGTGCTCTTCCATGCTGTTTCTAGCAAGTTTTCTAAGCTGTTTAATAAAGATTTTCAAAGAAGCATCTAAACCTCCTCTTACGGAAAGGCAAGAGGAATGCTTTGCTGGACAAAAGGCAACAGGAAATGAGAACACACACACACACACACACACCTCTGCCCACCCCAGACACCCAGTGCATTCAGTGGATGAGCCGCACACTCAAAGCTGCTGGGGAGAGTAACTCAGCAGTTCCAGTGTATTCTAACGACCTGCTCTACACATGCAAAGTGATTTGAAAACATTAAATTTTATTTTTTAATTTGAAAGAAGGATAGAGGGTGAGTGAGCGAGCAGATTCTCTCAACTCCAGAGTTTGTAGCAGCTGGGTGAGGACCGGCCAAAGGCAGGAGACTGATGCGCAGTCGGAATGTCCGTCATCTGCTGTTTCCCTCGTCCACAGCGGAAGCTGCTGTGGGTGTGCTAGGCAGTCACCCCTGCCCAAACGCCCGTACCTTTGACAGAATTCCGGTTCACTCATCAGGTTGGAAACTAGCAGTGGAAAACACAGGATAAGTTGGTATTTTCAAACATAGAGTACATTTGGGCTTGTGGTCTTTTTTTTTTTTTTTAAGATTTGTTTTGTTTGAAAGGCAGAGTTACGGAGGCAGGGGGGAATCCTCCATCAACTGGTTCCTTCCCTAAATAGCCACAGTGGCCAGAACTGGGCTGATCTGAAGCCAGGAGCCAGGAGGTTTTCCAGGTCTGCCACGTGGATGCAGCGACCCAAGCACTTGCATCAGGCTCTGCTGCTTTTTCAGGCCACAGGCAGAGACCAGGATGGGAAGTGGAGCAGCTGGGTCGTGAGTCAGCACTCCTGTGGGGTGTTGGCGCCACTGGTGGAACATCAGTGTGTGTCGCCATGGCAGGCCCTCTGCTAATAGATTTTTAAAGCAATGTCTGAAGTGAGTCTTTCATTGCAGTAGATCTAATTGCATAGTATCAATGTGCTTTTCCAGCAGTTGTGTCAGAAGTTGTCTGTGTTCTGTATAGAGCCACCATGGTATTCAAGGTTGTGTCTAGGGTCTGTAGCTAGATTTTTGTTTTGCTCAGTTGGATAAGAAACTTCTGAAATTCGGAAGCCTGCACCCCCACCGCTCCCCTTACTGATCATGTAGAGATAGCATATAGTGGTCTTCTCAGTTACAAAAATTGTGAATTAACCCACAGGTTTCAGACAGTTTTATGGTTGAGGAAAGTAGAAGTGGGTCTTGAGTAGAGAGGACACCACCACCACCACCATCATCAGAGTTACCCACAGTACTTTGACACCTGTGAAAAGAGGTGTCACTTTTAACATCTGCCCACCTGTAGGGGATATTCAAACTCCTCACCCCATTTCAAAAGCCACCAGTGTCTTAAGTGGGTCATAAAAATACTCCCATGGGGTCCGGTGCAGTGCTTGCCTTGCACGGGCCACTGGTTCTAGTCCTGGAGGCCCCACTTCCCATCCAGCTCCCTGCTTGTGGCCTGGGAGACAGGCCAAAGCCATGGGACCCTGCACTCATGTGGGAGACCCGGAAGAGCTCCTGGCTCCTGGCTTTGGATTGGCTTCTCCTCCTTTCTGTATATCTGATTTGCCAATAAGAAAACAAAAACTCCGTGTGTGTTTGCTCAGGGGCCTGTTGCCCTGGGGATCACCATTCGAGGGCTTCGAGCTCTCTCCTGGGGGCTGAGATGCAAGCATGCCTAGGTGAGCGGGCAAGCGGGGCGGAAGAATGTGGAAGCACCCCATTTCCCCTGGTCACGTGTTCTGTGAAGCGGCGTGCTTCATGCCACACACCTGATGGGCTGCTCTGGCTGAGGTTTCTCTGTTCCCTTTCAGCTTTGAGCAGCTCAAGATGGCTGTGGCCAACCTCAAGCGGCAGGCCAACAAGAAGAGCGAGGGCAGTCTGGCGTGCGTCAAGGGCGGGCTCAGCACCTTCTTTGAGGCCCAAGACGCCCTCTCAGGTAAGGCGGTGCTTGCAGCCATCTGTGCGGGGGGCAGAGGAGACCTCCCAGCTCCTTATGGAAACCTGACCCCGTGCCCACGGAGAGTTTACAGGCTGCTGTCTGTATTTATAAAAGGTAGACATTTAAACGTGCCATAAGCATTTGTTGCAGAGTGGCCTGGGATCTCTTTGAAGATCCCGGTGCTTTAACTCTGTCTCCGAGGCTTTTGTTGGCGTGTCTTGCATGTGTAATACAGGAGATTACCCTCACCTCTGCGTGGGGATGTGCCAGGCTCCCGAGGCAGGGCTGGTGGGGCACTGAGCCGCCGCAGGGAAAGTCTTCGCAGCTCTTTAAGTCCTTTCTTAGCCCCACGTGTGACTGTTGTGTGTTCAGCACAACAACATGCTGTTCCTTTAGCTGTCGCCTACTCTTCCCACCCCATACATGGATCGAGCTGACTGTGGTCTGTCCAGCATCTATATGGTGAGGGGGAAATTGTGGTAGGTAGAAATGGCATAGCTTTATACTTTAATGAAAGCTGTTGAATAGAGTTGTTAAATACTTTTAATAATCTAAAAGTCCCTGGGCACCTTATTCCATTTGAAATGACTTTTTTCTTTCTTCTTTTTTTTTTTTTTTTAATTTAACACACATACATCCCTTCACTGTTTTGAAAGCCCTCCCCGCACGTGCCCACCATGCCCACCATGCCCACCATCCCATGCTGGGGGAGGGTGTATCTGGTACCGCTCTTCCTTTGCAGGTGGAGGTTCGGCTTTTTGGGGGGTGGGGTGAAGTGCAGGAGAGGACAGAGTGACCTGTACTTCAATTAATCCTCTGTGCGCCATGCTGCTGTCCCAGTGAGCAGAGCTAACGCAGGCAGCCTGAGCGTGGGTGGGTGCAGCCCAGTGTTAGCCCCTGGGGGCTGCCCAAGTGGATGCCATTAAAGTGATTTCCCTTGAGGCAGTTTTGGCTTTTCTCCCCACTTTTTGAAAGGTATGTTCATATCTACATGTATGTTTATAGGTGTTTATGGTCTTTTTTTCTGTATGTGGCCTGCCTTGTGGCCGACTTCAAGAAGTATTACGTGTTACATTAAGTGTATGTGGCCTCATCCATTAGACCTTTTCCCAAAAATATGTTGGATGCTTAAGGTTTAACAAAATAATGCTGATCAAATGACATGCAGATGAATGTGTGGCATGTAGAAAATTTGAAAGGTTTATTTGGCATAAACATATTTATCTGGTTTCTTTTTTGATGAAAAAATACATACTGTAGAAAATATTGTAATAGATAAACGATTAGCAAGAATTACCTTCAATGTAGAAATAGTGACAGTACCATTTTATTTCTTCCTGGTCTTTTTTTTCTTAGCTTGTATGCATATAGTATTATTTACAGTAACTTTTGATTTGTTGGCACCGTTTTTTTTTTAAACGTTTATTTTTATTTGAAGGGCAAGAGTTACAGACAGAAAGAGAGAGTGAGAGCAATCTTCCATCCGCTGGTTCACCCCCCAAATGGCTGCAATGGCCCTGAGCCCATCCGAAGCCAGGAGCCAGAATCCTTCTCTGGGTCCGCCATTCCTAGGCATTGGGCCATCCTGACCTGCTTTGCTATGCCACAAGCAGGGAGCTGGATCAGAAGTGGAACAGCCGGACGTGGATTGGCACTTGTTTGGGATGCTAGCACTGTAGGCAGAAGCCTACCCTACTATGTCATGGGACCAGGCCCCATATTAGTAGCGTTTTCTAATTTCTTCCCTAGTATGCTCTGATGTGGAATGGGTCTGTAGTTTTAAGAAATGCCTTCCAGGTCAGGTGTTAGTGTTAACATTCCGCAAAGTCATGTGGATGTATGCATGTCTGTGTGTGAACTCTTGGTGGACCATGGACCTGTTTTAAATTTGAAAGAGCTGATCGAACTCTTGCATGACTGGAAGTGTCTTTGCTTTCATACGTGGGAGTTTCCCAGAGACTTTGGTTGATTTTTTTCTATTATAAAAACTGTCTAACATTCTATAATAATAGAAGATGGCACTCATGCATGCATTATACATTTGTTGCATGTGTAAGTAAAGCTGTCTTTTTTAAAAAGGTTTTTAAAGATTGATTTACTTATGTGAAAGCAGAGCGTTCAAAGGCCTCTAAGGTCTGGGACTGGGCCAGGCTGGAGTCCAGACACTGGAGCCCTTGATCTCATCTTCCACTCCTGTGCGCCCGATGGCAGGGAGCTGAATCGGAGCACAGCCACCAGTGTGGGATGCTGGCATGGAAGGTGGCAGCACAGCTCAATCCGCCACAATGCCGGCCCCTACCACCAAGTTTTGGAAGTGACTTCCAGTGTCACTGGGAAAATAAGTGACACTCAAAGATTGGGTAATTCCACAGTATAAATGACCTGGTGTCTTCAATAGATGAAGCATGAAAAAAGCCCAGGTTAGTTCAAGAAAAGGGTATTGCTCCCACTTCAAATGGGCTGAGAAAGGCCAGTGCCATGGCTTAAGAGGCTAAGCCTCTGAGGTGCCAGCATTTCACATGTGCATCAATTCATGTCCTGCCTTTTCCATTTCCAATCCGGGAGGGGCGGCAGTAGGTGAGACAACTGCCTCCAATCTGTTTTTCCTTCCTGTTTCTGGGTAAAACAGGGAGAGAAGGGGAGAGGGCTGCTCCCAGCCTACCATATACTCAGACCTCATGTACACTAATGGAAACTGCAACCAATTGGAGTGACTGCCAGTAACCCCCACCAGGCCCGCCCCCAGCCATGGTTCCTGCAGATATGGCTTTTGTGCACCCCAATGAGTGCTGCAGCCTAGCTCAGCCCAGCTGACCCCGCTATCCAGCCCTCACATATGCCGTAGGGTGCCACTGCCTGTCCAGCCAGGTCCAGCCTCAACCCTGGTTCCTTTACTCTCAGATCTGCCAGTTAGTACTATGAACTGGACCAGCCTGGCCTGCCGCTAGACCTGACGCATATGTATTCTGGCAGGTGTTGTAGCCTGGTGTGGTCTGGGCTGCTCCAAACCTTGGTTCTTGCACTCACCTGCAGGGACTATGTCATGATAGAGGAGTCCCCCAAGCTCCTTTATCCGGTCACCTCCCAGGCACAGATGTCACACATACTGATGGGATCTTGGCCTGGCCTGACTGGGCCTGCCTCCTATCCTGGCAGGAACAGTGGCCTTGCCTGTCTAGTCCATACCCATTCCGGCTCTTACTTTTTAGTGCTACAACCCTACCTGGTCCATCCAAAGACCCACATGTTTTGATTGGTACAGAGATCTAGCCCAGCCTGTCTTGTACTCACTCTGGCTCCTGTGAATACCAGCAGGTGCTAGAGGCTAGCCCAGGCTGGCACAGCCCAGACCTAGTCCAAACCCATGCCAAGGGATACTGTAGCCATTTCCAGCCTGGTTTGCCACCCCATTCGGCTCTCATGCTTGCTAGTGGGAGCTGCAGCCCATCAGGGGTGTCCACTTAGCTTCCTGACCAGGCTTGCTCCCAGCTATAGATCTTGCATGTGCCATTGGTTGCCCTGACCCATTCTAGCATAATCTATCACCTGGCTTGGTCTTTGCCATCAGATGCTGCAGCCTGGCCTGGCCTGGCATGGCCTGGCCTACCCTCCAGTCCCAATTCCTGCTGGTGGGTGCTGCAGCCTAGCCCTGCCCAGCCTGCCTCCATCCCTGGCTTTCATGCAGACTCTTAGGTGTGATAGCCTAGCCTTGCCTGGCATGGCCTGCACCCCATACTGGCTCCCGTACTTGCCAGTGTGCTGTGGTTTGGCCTAGCCTGTCTGGTCTGCCCCTTTCCCTCCCTTGCCCCTGAGCCAACCCATACACTTGCCAACAAATGAAGCAATCCTGCCAGGCCTCATCAACACCCAGCCCTGACTCATGTGCTCACCAATGGGAGCAATGACACACAAGGGGAGTTCCCCCACCAGACCCACTCCCAGACTCAGATCTCATGTGTCCCAGTGGATGGTAGGCCCTTACTTGGCGCAGTCTTCCCCCAGTCTCAGCCTTTGTGTGTGTTGGTGGATGATGCAGCCCAGTCTGCCCCACACGCAGTTCTTGGGTGTGTCTGCAGGTGCTGCAGCCTAGACCAGCCCAGCCTGTTCCCAGACCCAGAACCCATGAGTGTTGGTGAGTTCCATGGTCATGCCTAGCTCAGCCTATCACCACCTGCAGCTCTTGAGTAAACCAGGTGGTATGACAGTCCCTCAGGGTGAGCCCATGATCCCCCACAGAATCTACTCCCAGACCCAGTTTTCTTGTGAGCTGGTTAGTGTCATGACCAGCCTAGCATGGTCCACCCCCTGCCCTGACACTCAGTGGCAGGTACTGTTGAGCCTTGCCAGGCAGCGCCCCCAGCCATGCCTTTCGTGTGTGTCGATAAGCAGTGGTTGATAACAAGGCCAGCTTAGGTCTCCCACATGGATGGGTGCATTGGTTTGGCTCAAAAGTTCCTCTGGTTTCCTTCCTTTAAACCACCTGGTCTCAGCCCCCTCCTTTACCTGCAGGCGCACTAGCCTGTTTGTTCAAAGTCCCCCAGAAGTCATTTTTCACCTGTCATGTTCTCCCTCAGCAGTGGTCCCTCCTACACATCTCCAGACCTGCTTCCCTGAACAATCCACAGCCTCCCATGCCTGCGAGCATGCCGATCCCCACACCCGATCCTCCAGCAGTGTGCCGTGCCAGCCCAGGGCCCAAGCACACTCACCTGCGGATCCCCAGACCCTGTTTTTAAAAAAAATTTAATCTATGTATTATAATTTTGAAATCGCCAAAGATTCTTAGAATAGGCCCTTTTCGTTACCTGTTTAGTTTATTTGTATCTTATACCTCTTTTATCATTTGAAGCATGGATTCTTTAATGTAGACCTTTGCTTTGCTTTTTTTTTTCTTTTTAATTTTATTTTTGACGATGTTTATGTAGTTGACTAGGGTGGGAAGGGTCAAGGATTAGAGGGAAAATGGGTGAGACCATTGTTTCCAAATATTCTATTTGTTTTTCCTGTATCTGAGGGAAGAGGGGAGATTAGGGGAGAATCTGCACCCAGCCTCCTAGTCATCTAAGTTCCCCGGGGGATTGGGAACAGCCACCCAATGTCATCGCAGGGTCTCTGACTGGGAGCATTCTCGAACCGTTCTGCTCAAGCGGTTTCAACAGTTCTGAAATGCTGTTGATTTCGCCAGTCCCAGGATATTTTATAGTTCTAATTTTCTCTCGTGTAGTAATTTGTAGTCGATTTTTGTTTTTAAGAGTTAATCTTGGGCCCGGCGCGGTGGCGCAGTGGTTAAGGTCCTCGCCTTGCACGCCTGGGATTCCATATGGGCGCCAGTTCTATCCGGCAGCCCCGCTTCCCTTCCAGCTCCCTGCCTGTGGCCCGGGAAGGCAGTCGAGGACGGCCCAAAGCTTTGGGACCCTGCACCCGCGTGGGAGATCCGGAAGAGGCTCCTGGCTTCGGATAGGCATAGTATCGGCCCTTTGCGCTCACTTGGGGAGTGAATCATTGGACGGAAGATCTTCCTCTCTGTCTCTCCTCTCTGTATATCCGCCTTTCCAATAAAAAAATAATAAAAATAAATCTTTAAAAAAAAAAAAGAGTTAATTTTGAGCTTTCCAGTGTTGTGGGAAGAGATGTGTTTCTTCCTATTCCTCCATATTTCTGTAATTGTGACAGAGATAACAGCAGACAGGACATCGGTTCTCCCTGGAGGCGCTTTGCGCTGACGAATCAGATTGCCGAGATGCAGGTCATTTACATAGTGCCAGGACAGACAGAACAACCTCTTTAATTTTGAACCTGCAGGTTGGTTCCTGTGAGTGACCCGTGTGCTTGCCTTGTAACGTGGAATGGCTTGGGTTCCTTGGTTCCACTATTTTAACAGAATACGAAAGTTTGGTAGAACTTAGAAATCTACGCGAGGATGGCATCTGAGCCCAGCTCGTGTTTTCCGCTGCAGTAGGTACCACCGTCAGCAGGAGTGAATGATAAGCGCACGCTGTATCTTTCAAGGGCTGATTGAAAAGGAAGAATGGGCAAGCGCAGGAGTAACAGGCGTGTTCATAGTTGCGTTGAAGGCCATGTGTGGCCCACAAACCCTGAACTGCTTACTGTCTGGTTCCTGGTGAAGGAGCTGGTCAAGCTCTGACCCAGTCTGAATGTGGCTCTCTTCCAGAGCGGTGATCGTAGGAGTGTGAGTGGATCCTTCCAGCATTCCCCACGCAGGGGCGTAGTGCCTCAGTGCCTCGTTTAATAAAGGTGTTGGTGTTAATGCATGGGACGGGTACTGCGATTGTGTTGAATTTGTGAATGGGATGTTCACGTTCAGAAGCTAAGGGAAGGGTTTCACCTTTTCAGTGTCTACATGGGTAGTCTCTCCGTGACCTTGCTTTTTCTTTTGAAGAATGCTTTTGTCCATACCTATCCCATTTCCCCCCCCCCCCGTCACCCCCTTCTCGCCTCCCGACACAAGCCCGTGATGTCCACTGCTTCACATATCTGAGTTTTAATAGATTGGAAAGAGCAACAAACCTGTGATCACACCCCAAAGCTGCTTATTGGAGTTGTTCTCTTGAAAAGTGTTTTCAGAGAAAACACAGGGTCAAGCGAACCAGACGCTGGGCTGTTTGGTTTAATTTTCTAGAAAATAGGATTGCCTTTATCAGATGGCTGTGTCTCGCGGCCCTCATGCTTGGCTGGCAGCCCCAACAGTGGCTCTGCTGTGATGGGGTGGGCAGAAGGAAGTGGTTTGTCAGCAGAACAGGCTGTAAGCCGAGCCCTGGTGGGGACCAGGGCCACCTCGGCTTGACCTGCCGATCACTGACGGGTTATGTCAACGTCAGAATGTGGCCGCACCGTTTCTCTCCATGCCTGTTGTGACGAGGGAAGCCAGGGATACCCTGAGACGTGGGGTGACACAGTGACCCGAACCAGCCCCATGCAAGCGGCCATTCGGGCTGGAGCCCTATGTGGCTCTGCCACCAAGATTGGAGGTGGATCCCACCGCATTTACAGAAGGGGAGTGTGCAGACCGCGTGCTCCCAGAGTGCGGAGCCTTCTGCAGTCTGTCTGCTTCCCTGGGAAGTAGGAAGGCTGGAAGTGGAACCAGGGATTGATCTTTAATAAGTGGAAGCATTTCGTGTCACCACTGGCACAGAATCCAAGAAATTGAAACCTTTGCTTTGTTACCAAGTCCACCAAGACAATAAAAAAATAATAACAGAGGTAGCAGCTGTAGCCATTTTTCCCAGTGTTTTGTTCTTTCTCTGAATGTGCTTCTTCAATAATAGGGCAGTCTGGTTTAGAATCTCATGCAGAAAGTGAAGCAACTTTGTAAAAAAAAAAAAAAAAGAAAAAGAAAAAGAAAACAAAAATCTAAACTCTACCAGGAAAGTAGCAGAGAAATAGCTGTTACCAAACGTTGGTTGTATGTTCATAGTAGATTTGAATACTGAAGATTTCTCAGAACTGTTTGAATCAAGGAATTACATTGATTTGAAGAGATAAAAGATATTTTTTATGGCTAGAGTGTTCTGTTTATCATCATTTTTTTCTTAAGCGTAATTCTGCGACCTGGTGGTTGGTTGGTTGGTAGAAGCTCCTTTTAAGAAAGCCTGGACTCCCTGCTTGAACGTCCGGAACGGCTCCTGTGTCAGCGATGCTGCTTGCCACGCACTGGCTGCAAAAGCCGCAGACGGCAGCGGAAATCCCGTGTTTAGGTTTTTTTTTGCTGGAGCACATTCCGTGAAAGAATGAGAATGTCAGGTGTCCCCACAGCCACTGTTCTGAGGGAGAGGACGCCTCTTGTGTCTGTAGCTGAATGTGCTTCCCAACAGGTGCCCCGAGTTGATCTTTTTTTTTTTGCTGGAGCACATTCCGTGAAAGAATGAGAATGTCAGGTGTCCCCACAGCCACTGTTCTGAGGGAGAGGACGCCTCTTGTGTCTGTAGCTGAATGTGCTTCCCAACAGGTGCCCCGAGTTGATCTTTCGTTGTTTACCAGTTGGAGTCGGACTAGCTGCCTTTCCTTTTCTTGTGTCACAATTCTGAATTTGAATTCGTATCCGGCCTTTTTGTTTTGGAAGTGTTCTTAGTTCTTTTTATGCAAGTCTATTTAAGACCTCTCCTTTTCAATAGATAACAGTTTTTAAATAAAACTTTTAAAAAGATGTATTTATTTAAAAGACAGAGTTACAGAGTGAGCGAGAGAGGGTGATACAGGGAGACAGAGAGGGAAACATCTTCCATTCATGGGTTCACTGCCCACATGTCTGTAATGGCTTCATCTGGGCCGGACTGAAATCAGAAGCCCAGAGTTTCATCTGGGTGTCCCATGTGGGTGCAGGGCCAAGGACTTGGGCCATCTGCTGCTGCTTTTCTCCCACCGTTAGCAGAGTTGGATCAGAGGTGGAACAGCCAGGACTTGAACCAGTGCCCGTATGGGACTGTGGTGTTACCTGCATTGACTTTCGTCACCGCACCCCAGCACGAGGCCCCTGAATATAAATGATTGATTCCTTAATAGTTTTATGAGAAGTAGACAGCTCTCACTGGATACTCTCTGAACCCTCCAGGAAGTCATTTATTAGTGATGAAATGTTAATGACACGTATTTTTCCATGTTACATCTTAAGGCTAAAACTAAAATGGTTGAGATCGCTGGGCTCCAGATTGTGCTTCTGTTTTGTAAATGATGGGTCTGACTTTCTTGTGGCCAGATAGCCAGGAATCCTGGCCTTAAGGTGCAGGGTGCCTGACGACTCACTCTCCTTTTCTGTTCAAGTTTGTTTCTGCCACTCAGTCTTAAAAATGGGGTGATTGTGCTCTCATCATGTTGGGCTGTAACTGCCTGGGGTCTGCTGGGGACTCTGCCGATGGGGTGTGTTTGTTGCTCCTTTCCAGCGGGGAAAACCATAGCGCCGTCTTTGTAAAGTTGTTTAAAAATGTCATTTTCATGTGATATATTCCCACCCATTAAAATGGGCTACGTGTTAAACTAGGGTTTTTTTTTTTTTTTTCTCTTCCATTAGCCATCCATCAAAAACTAGAAGCGGATGGAACGGAAAAAGTCGAAGGGTCCATGACGCAGAAACTGGAGAATGTTCTGAACAGTAAGTTTTGCCCTAGTGCCCAGCACTATTTATGGACTTGGTGGCCTAATTTTACAGGGCAAGGCTGAAAGTTGCAGTTCAGTATTTCTAAATAGTAATGATTTAAGGAGCACACAAGGGGAATAGAAACATGGAAAATGGATGCTCTGTTTCTCTTTGCATTTTATTTATAGAAAATCATACTTTGAAAACAAAGCAGGGCATTTCTGATGACACACAGTTTGCCACCATGCAAGGGACCAGTGCGTTGATGGCATCGTCGGCCACAGAGGTGTAGAGGCGGCAGGGCAGACTGTCCCTGACCAGCAAGCCCGAGAAAGTGTCACCTTGAGGCTTATGCTGGTGTGAAGGCGGCTCCCCACAGCCAGTGGCGTGATGGACAGCCTGAGTGGCAGCTGCCTGTGCACATCTTAATTTTTTATCCCTGCTCCCACCCCGTCCCTGGAAGGGATTTAAGGCAGCTGTAAATTCAAAAGCGTGTCTGATTCTGAGCCCTGCTGTGGACGTTGGAGGGCCCCTCCCCCACCCATGCATTGACCGATGCGTGCAAATGTTGAGTCCTGGCCCGGCACCCAACCCTTTGCCCGTCTCTCTGACGTCGGTACCTACCCTGCTGGCCAGGAAGACATTGACCACCATTGATGAGAACCTTCAGCGGAGTGTCAGGTGACTTAGGAAGTCACTTACCCGCTCTCCCACGTGTCAGCAGGGTTTGACAGGAAATGGCACTGCTGGTTTCCACATGAAGTGGGGTTCTGTGTAACCGAAAACGTGTCGAAGCTCTGCTTCAGTTACCAGGATGGGCCTGCAGGGCTGTGACACGTGGCTGGTTTTACATTTCCACTGTCATTCTTTGAGCCTTTGTGCAAATCTGGATAGTCCCTGATAAAAAATAATGTTGGAAAGGAGGAGTTTTAGCTTGTGGTATACTTTTCCTTGGCAGTAGAATTCCAGTCTATTAATTTAATAACACTTAGCTTTTTTCCCCTTTGCTTATTATTATTATTATTATTATTATTATTAAAAGATTTATTTATTTTTATTGGAAAGGCAGAGTTACAGAGAGGAGAGACAGAGAAAGATCTTCCATCTGCTGGTTTACTTCCCAGATGGCCAAAATAGCCAAAGCTAGCCAATCCAGAGCAAGGAGCCAGGAGCTGCTTCTGTGTTTCCTACGTGGGTGCAGGGTCCCCAGGTTTTGGGTCATTCTCCACTGCTTTCCCAGGTCACAGGCAGGGAGCTGGATGGGAAGTAGAGCAGTCCGAACACCAACCAACAGCCATATGAGATCCTGGTGCTTGCAAGGCCGAGATTAGCCTATTGAGCCATCCTGCTGGGCCATGTTAATTACTATTGTTTGCATCCTTGGCCCTGTCTCTGGGAACCGGTCAACCTGGTTAAAATGAACCTAGCCTGGATCCAACCCATGTGAATACTCACTGTTGCTGTTTCTGTGTTGCTGTCACTGGGTAGATCAGAGTCTTGGAAGACTAGTTTCTTTTCCTTTTTTAAGAATTTATTTATTTATTTGAAAATAAACATGAATAGAGAAGAGGGACAGAGATTTTCCATCTGCTGGTTCACTCCCCAAATGACGACAACGGCCAGAGCTGAGCCAATCTGAAGCCACGAGCCAGGAACTTCTTTTGGGTTTTCCACGTGGGTGCAGGGTCCCAAGGCTTTGGGCCACCCTCGACTGCTTTCCCAGGCCACAAGCAGGGAGCTGGATGGAAAGTGGAGTAGCCAGGACATGAGCCGGTGCCGGCATGGGATGCTGGCATTAAGACAGCAGCTTTGCCTCCTGCTTGGTGTTATTTGCACTGGAGAAGTTGGTTTCCAGTCACAGTGTCTGAGGTTATTTCAGTAACTTTTATATTTGTAAGTTATTTATATTTTTTACTTGAAAGGCAAAGAAACAGATACAGATTTCTCACCTATTGATCCATTCCTCAGTTGCCTGCCCAAGTCCAGGCTGCCCAAGGCCAACGCGCAATGCCAGGAAGTCTGTGCCAGCCTCCCCTGGAGTGGCAGGGTGTGGGCCCTTGAGCCATCAGCTGCTGCCTCCCAGGGTTCGCACCAGTGGGGAAGTAGAGTAGTGAGTGGACAGGATCAGACCCAGAAGCTCCGGTACGGCATGCAGGTGTCCCAGGCAGGGGTTGTCTCCCGCCTGCACCCTGCCTCCAACTGCAGTGAATTTTGGAAGGTGACTCATAGGAGCAGCTGACATGGTAACTTTTATTGTATCAGTAAAGGAGGTATTTGTTATTTGGAATCCTTCCTCAGGATTTGTGGTATGAAAATCATAAGGGAAGCTGTTGGACTTATGTTCCTTAATAACCATGGCCCTCTTCTAGCTGTTTAGCTTGCCCTTTTCGATCAAGTTCGGCTTAGCATGCATGGTCACTTCTTTATGAGACCTTCAGTGGTGTGTGTGTGGTCTCTCTTCAGAACAGCCCTCCTTCCGCAGGGGCGTTCTTCATCAGCATGCTGTTCACACTGTCAGAGGGTGAGGTGTTGCTAGTTCAGGTCACGCACACAGGTGTCTGTTGCATGCTGGCTGTGTAATGCCACATGTTGTGCCAGTCTGGGGGAGAAAGGACAGATAAGATGTCACAGCCTCAAGTGTCCTGTTGTCCAGCCCAGGCTGTCCCAGAGTCCAGGGCTTCAAGTGCAAAGGATGAAAATCAGGAGCAGTTCTGGGAGTAACGCTGCACTTGATCTTGGGCAGAAGGGTGAAAATTGATATGAGGAATAATGCTGAAAAGGCTTTTTGTTTTTTTTTTGCAAGGAAGGATTTAATTAGTATGACCATAACTCAGTTTGCTTAGATGACTGCTGTCTTATGTATAATTATATGCTAATTTTAAACGAATTTTTCTTTTTAAAGGAGACTTTTTTGTGTCTTGGGCATTCTTTCTCATTTTAAATTTCTAAAGGATGATATTTCCTACAAGGAACTTAACCCATTTTTTTTCAGAGTTCCTCAGTGTTGACACCCTTCCTTGAAATTGTTTTCAGTGATATGTTTCTCATGTTTGAGTTTGAACTTAACGATTCCTTCTTGATTTCTTTTTTAACAATGTGTTTGTTTAGAAGTCAGAGTTACAGAAAGGGAGAAGAGTCGTTTACCTCCTGGTTCACTTCCCAGGTGAGCATAACAGCCAAGGTTGAGCCAGGCTTCCTCAGGTCTGCTGCAGTGCAGTGGAGCAAGGATTTGGGCCATCCTCTGCAGCTTTTCCAGACTCATTAACAGAGAGCTGGATTGGAAATGTGGTAGCCGGGACTCGAACCAGCGCCCATCTGGGATGCTGGTACTGCAGGTGGCAGGTTAGCGTTGTGCAGTACACTACTGGGCCCCTGGGTGTGTGTGTGTGTGTGTGTGTGTGTGTGTGTGTGTGTGTGTGTGTGTGGTTTCACACATTCACATCTGTTTTATCTGTTCCAAGAACTGCCCGATGATGCACTGATGAGAGTGTGCAATCTTGAACGGCCAGTGTGGCTAGGACAGCTGAAGAAATTGGAATTTCCGTTTTAATTCCTTTCAATGAACTTTTGATTGAAATAGTCTGATATGGCTGTTAACTACTGTGTTAGCCAGCACAGGTGTGGATGGTACAGCATTGAGTGTTGTAGTATTAATAGTGGCATAATAAGTGCAACTCAGATTCATGTCTTCACATCTCTAGCCCTATGAAATCTTTGCTGGCAATCTCCATTTTATGAGACACTTGGAGCCCAGAAAATTAAATATGCTTTGTTAAAATCATAAAGATAGTGACAGGGCTGTTAATTCATGTCTCAGGTTCTGGCTCCAAATTTGTTCTCTAAACTGCAGATGAACCATGCTGTGTGTGGGTTCAATAGGCACACAGGTCAGTTAAATGGTGTGCCCCTGTCCCACGGCACACTTCAACTCCAGGCAGACTTGCTTGCTGGCTCCCCTGCCTACACGTCGCAGGTGAAGAGCAGTCATGCGTGGTGCTGAGAGACCAGCCATCCCTCCCGCCTTGGTGACTGGGCTCCCTGCCTGTTACCAGCCCTCACGCAGACAGCATGGTGTGTCATGCTGTTTGCTGCTTCTCTCTCGGGGACACATGCCCAGAACGTTTATGCACAAGTGGGTCATAGAAGGAATTGGCACACAAAAATGGAACTGCACCCAGAGGCACAAAGTAATGGTGCTGCAAGCGAAACTCAGCTCTGAAATCAGTGGAATTATCATAGAACAAGGCGCTGGCAGGGACACGAGCCTTCCTCTGCGGCTGCACCGATGGCAGGCACCTCCAAGGAAGCCATGCTTACAGGAGCTCCCCCCCCTCCCCCCCCCGTGTTACCGCACCCTGAAAGTGCGAAGGATAAAATACGGGAGGAAAGGGCGTGGTCGTGCATCAGAGAACGGCTGAGACGCGTCGGCAGCAAACAGCAAGCGCTGTACCAAGTCCGGACACATTAGAGTTGACAGTTTCAAACTGCAGGGAGCCGAAGAAATACTAATGTGGCCGTCTTTTCATTTCCCTACTCATTTATAACTCACGACTCTTTTTTAGCCTTGCACTTTTTTTTTTTTAACTTGAGGCAATTTTAGCCAAGTTTTTTTGAAAGTTAACTGTTTGAGAAACAGAAACAGAGGGAACTACCAAACGGAACAGCTGGGGCAGTGTTGGATCCAAGAGCTGGGAATGCAGTCTACACCTCCCCAGTGGGTGGCAGGCCCCAGTTACTGGAGCCATCCCCCGTGCCTCCTGGTGTCTGCATTGGCTGGAGGTTTGAGCTGGTCAGAAGCCACAGCTGAGAGTCGCGCCCAGACGGCCGGCCTGACAACACAGGTGTTTGAGCTGCTGAGCTAAGCCCCCCCACCACTGCAAGCATTTTTAGAAGTCCCCAAGCAGCCAACAGTTGCCCCTTGGTGATTCAGTTGCTCCGCTGAGTTTCAGCTGGCACAGCCATCAACGTACCAAGTGAGGCGTGCCTGCACTGTGCCATGCCACCTCCGAGGAGGAAAATAGCAGTCTCAATCGGAAGAGGGAAGATTGGAGTCCTTGCTCTGTAAACGTTGTACCGGGCACTTGCTGTTCTGTTCTGGGGCTGTGAAGATAAGGCTTACACTTCCCAAGTTCCCAGCCCACTGGTGAATAATTCCCTCAAGCTGGTGACTGACTTATGGCGTGGGCCAGACACTGACAGTGAACCTAGCATGTGTCTAGAGGTGCTGACCAAAAAGCAGAGTGGAGAGGCTCTCCAGCTGGCACATAGGATGAGCCCCAAGTGGCTGGACAAGCAGAGGTTGGCAGATGGGTAGCAAGGAGCATCGATGAAGGTGTATGGTATCTCTGAGGGCCAGGAGGGTGTGTGTACATGAACGTCTATGCAGGTGTGTGCTGTCTCTTTAGGGCCTACGGGATGTGTGTGTGTGTGTACACGCACTTTTTTAGGGGTGTCTCAGAGGGGAGAGAGGCTCCTGGAGAGCCATGGAAGGAGGTTAACCCGGAATCTGGTGAGACTTCTGGGCAACACCTGTCTTCTGTGTAGAGGACGGGTTAGAAGGGAGCTAGGCTGGAGGCATGGAAAGAGACCTGAAAGAGGTGTGTGGGAGAGACTGAAGGGTCAGCTTGTGGCACGTTTAACCCAACACGGCCGGTCCAGGCAGAGTGAGCAGCGGGCGAGGGGTGTTGAGATGAGGAAGGCAGTATATGGTCACTGGTCAGGCCTGTACGGTAAGAAAGAGGAAGTAGTCCTTGAGGGCTTCTGGGTTCCTGGTCTCAAGCGGGAGACGGAGGAGCAGAGCCAGGGCAAGAGGGGAGGCATAGAGAAGCAGCTGCAGCTGGGTGTGTGAGGAATGCAGGCAGAGGGAAGGGGGTCCTCCTAGCTCTCAGGCCTGGCTCCCTGCTGCACATGTCCTGTCGGACGACGCACAGGTGCTTCCACCCTAAAGTGGGAATGAGACCAATGCCTTGTCCTATGTGAACACACCAAGTGGACATTGACAAGCATGTGGGAAGTTGTCAGGATAGGACCTTAACACCCAGAAGGTGCTTAGCGTGTTTGCACCAAGAGACACCTGCTACCCAACATTTGGCCTACACCCCCACAGGTATCTTGAGATAGGCCTTGGCTGCCACTGGCACAGAGGGTAAGGCTGAGTTGGCCAGACCAAAAGACACAGCCCAGGGACCGTGTGTTACATGAGAATGGCAAAATCAAGGGCTCAGGCTGGGAGAAGAATATCAGTTAAGTACCGGCTCAAAAACAACCACCACCCTAGTGTCAATGTTTCTCATTTCCGGAGTGTGGCCACTCCTGTGAGGAAGGATGTCAGGCCGTCGGCTGCACTGGAAAAGGTGTGTATAAGGAGCCACGTTGTGAGCCAGCCTCGGCTCCTGCCAGGTGCCCTGGCTTCTAGCTGTGTACTTGATACAGAGCCACAGGCTTTGGTAGCAGGTCTGGCATCAGCAGGCGTTAATTGTTGTTTACATTAACCCTCTGTACCATGTCCTCGCTTCCATGAGGAGTGGCCCACCTTGCAGAATCCCCCTGAGTCGATGCACAGCCCAGAGGTAGTTCTCTTTGTGGTCCCCGCTGCCCTTTGAGTCTGAGGGCCTGCTCTCAGTTCCCTTACATTTCCGGTGCCTTAGTGTTACAGTGTCCACATCTCAGGCATCACCCAGCTTGCCTGTTCCTGGGAGAAATTGTCCGCTAGGGGCTGCGAGTGGCAGGAGGGGGGGTGGAGTATGAGGTCTTCCAGTCCTATCCCCTGCTCCCCGCTCCAGTTCCCATTCTGGTGGAGAACACAGGTAAAAGTCACTTGTATGGTCTGACTGTCCCACGTGTCAGAACCCAGGTGGGGACCAAGAAGGTCGCTTTGCAGTCAAAGAAATCGTGAAGTCTACATTATAGCAACATGCACAGAGCAAGAAGACACCGTGAGAAGCCCAGGACCCAGTTTTCTGTGATGACAGGGGTTCCTGGCACACACAGCTAAAGGGCTTTGCCCATCATGGCTGGTAGCAGGTCAGTGGGCAGCTAGTCCTAGAATGATTTCCTCCCTCTCTCACCGTGGAGGGCGGTCCTGCTGCTCTGCCTGCAGTTACTACAGATGCACGGCCGTTAGTTCCTGGGCTGCTGTGTGAGCCACGCGGGAACGGTCAGGGTCAGATTCCCTGGCCATGCGCATGGACCCCGGCAGCAGCAGGGCCAGCTCAGTGTGCTGGTAACTGCAGATCGCGGTGTGTTCTGCGGCCTCGTTGGGGCTGCCACTGCCGTGGATGTGGGGATGTTCTGAGATTTGCCCCATGCCTGTGCAGGGGCTGGTCCCTGAGAGATGGCGGGAGGCTGCCTCAGAGGACCGTGCGAGGCCCTGTCCTTGCTGGCGGAGTGTTCTCGCTTGTCTGCAGCTGCGGAGGAAATACAGAATGCGTTTTGTGACGTGCTGGTCAGCTGCTTGTGCAGGCCCTGGCTTCCCTGCTCGCCTGTGTTGGATTACTGCGTGTCTGCTCCAGTTACGGGCACAGGGAAATTCACAACGAAATAATAATTTGCAGACAGAGCTTGCCTATTAGTTTTCTGGCTTAAATTTCTCATGGTTTACATAAATCGAACCTATCTGTACATGTGTATATTCCTGCATAAACTGAACTATAATCTTACAGTTTTGTAATTCCTCACCATCATTTTCTTTTCTCTGTGAAATGTCTACCTGTTATTTGATGAGAAGTGGGTTCCTATTCGTCTACACATTTTTCTACATTTCCAGAGGAGTTAAAATTATCACCTGGTAACTTTTTATTACTTTTAAGAGTAAGAAAGTCTGATTCTGAACCTCATATGTTTTTGCCCATAATTCTATCCCTGCAGCAAAAAGAGAAACGAAAAAAAAAAAAAAAACCCACGGGTCATTTAGCCTCTAACTCTTGTACGTAAGCAACCTTTTAGAAAGATTTAATCGCACTCGTATGTCTGTTCAGGATGCCTCAATTCATGAAGTGCATATTTTTAAAAAATGATAAACCAATGCTTTTAAAGTCATCTTCTCTAGGGAAAAAAAAAAAAGCTTCCCCCAACGCTCATCCAATTCCAGCCGCTCGCTTGGGCGGCGCGGTGCGGCTTGCTGCTCTGCGTTTGTCTTCCTCACACAATGGGAATGCAGTCTTCTCCGTCAAACAGCATGTGCTGAAAACAGCTATCTTGACAAAGCCAAGTTTTTATATCGGCCCTTTAAAATTTCAACAGAATTTAAACATTATTTAGATAAAGCGGTCCTGTGACAGCGCCGCCCCTCCAAGGCGCCCGGGCCACCCACGGTGTGGAGACCCCCGGCGTGCCACCCAGGGAGCCCGCGGGGAGGTTTTCATCTTTGCTTAGTGTACAGTCACCAGACCAGATAACCCAGAGACGAGTTGGTTTTTTTTTTTTTTTTTACAAGCAGCCATCAAACAACCGAGAACAGTTTATCCCCTTTTCTTCCCTCCCCCTTCTCTGTGGCTAATTAAAAATAATTCACAAACTGCGAAGTTGCAACCTTTTTTTCCCTTTGTGCACAGCACATCCTGCTGTAAGAGTCTGAAGTCCTTTAGGTGAGGGAACCTAACGGAATGTCAAGTTCAGAAATAATTTCACAGGCATGAATCAGTTTCAGAAAGTTTTTGTTTTTTTTTTTTAATGACACTGTGCGAAAGTTCTGTCATTTAAAATGGTGTGTGTAATTTCCATAAAAGAGATAATTCCGCCAGGAAACGGGGACCAGTTTTAAAATGTTTCTTGTGAACAGCTCCGCCTGGAAACTGTCTTCCTGGTTTCATTACTCAGTGCTGTGTGTGACTGCGTTTGCCGGACTTCGCTAACGCACGTGTGTGCGGACACCCGGGCGTGTGTGTTTTACCTTCATAGAAGTAACCGAAGGGCCTGGAACAGCTGTAAAATTTAGAAGAGCAGCAAAAATCCTGGCTCACATTACAGAATTCATTTGGGCGTGGAAATATGGGTCACTGTTATAATTGGATACCGCTCTCAACATATGAAAAGACTTAGGCAAAATGGAAATCTTTGAGCAAACTTCGTAAACCTCTCCAATATAGCTTAACAACAACAACAAAAAAATGGTTTTAATGCACAGCTACAAGAGCGACACTAACATGCATTTTGTGGTGTCCAGTTCCACGTTTTCTGATCAGAATCAGCCTTCAACCCCGTTTCTCCGTCTCCTCCGCAAACAGGAGCGAGCGACACCGCGGACGCGCTCTTCCAGGAGGTGCTGGGCCGGAAGGACAAGGCGGATTCCACCAGGAACGCCCTCAACGTGCTGCAGCGGTTCAAGTTCCTGTTCAACCTGCCCCTGAGCATCGAGAGGAACATCCAGAAGGTAGGGCGCGTGGCCGTCCTCACTGTCTCCCAAAGACACCCTCACGCTGCCTTTTTTTAACCCCTTTATTTTGCTTTGCTGGCAGTCTCCCGAAAATGTTTCTTTCTTTTTCCAGGGTGATTACGATGTGGTTATTAACGACTATGAAAAGGCCAAATCACTCTTTGGGAAAACGGAGGTGCAAGTTTTCAAGAAATGTAAGATGAGCTTCTCCCTGCCCCCCACAGAGAGCGTGTGGGGTGTCTGCCGGTCCCCCACAGTGGGGCGAACCAGGTGTTCCCCGTGTTGCTGTGGGCAGCTGCAGAGCCGTGGCTTCCTAAGGGGCCTCCCGCCTGTGCCCTGGCCACCGGCAGCCGCCACCGGCCATGCTATGCTGTCACTTTTTGTTGGAAAGAATCAGCAGTGGATGGATGTATTCTGATACGTGTTAAATGCTTCCTTTGCAGAAAGGCCAGCATATTTCCAAATTGTAGCCTGACTTGAAGCCAAGCTCAGTACTTTCAGCCATCATTGCTCATGCCAGAGTTAACAAAAACTTAAGAAATGCTTAACCTGCCGCTTGGTGCAGCCTGATGAGCTCGGAGGAAATCTCACAGGGCCATGTTGAATTAAAGAAAAAAAAAAACATGAGGGCTCAGAAAACTTCTTTTTTCTCTCACTGTGGTAAACTTTCCGTGCAGTGAGATGCAGAGACCTGACCCGTCACAGGTCAGTGAGCTTGACGAATGTGCCCGCCCACGGCCCCCTCCTCGAAGGGGGCTCCGGGCCTGCAGGAGGGCCCCTTCCCTCTCCTCCGTCAGCCTCACCCCCAGAACAGCGCAGGTCTGTGTCTTTTGTTTTGTTGTCTTAATTCCCTTTGTTTATTTCTTTTTACCTAGACTACGCTGAGGTAGAAACGCGGATCGAAGCTTTGAGGGAATTACTGCTGGAGAAGTTGCTCGAGACGCCATCAACACTGCATGACCAGAAGCGTTACATCAGGTAGAAGCCCTGCGTTGTAGGGTGCTGGTCCGCGCCTGCGGGAGCCCGGAAGTGAGTTGTAGGGTGCTGGCCCGCGCCTGCGGGAGCCCGGAAGCTGCGTTGTAGGGTGCTGGCCCGCACCTGCGGGAGCCAGAAGCTGCGTTGTAGGATGCTGGCCTGCACCTGCGGGAGCCAGAAGCTGCGTTGTAGGATGCTGGCCTGCACCTGCGGGAGCCAGAAGCTGCGTTGTAGGATGCTGGCCTGCACCTGCGGGAGCCGGAAGCTGCGTTGTAGGGTGCTGGCCTGCACCTGCGGGAGCCGGAAGCTGCATTGTAGGATGCTGGCCTGCACCTGCGGGAGCCCGGAAGTGAGTTGTAGGGTGCTGGCCTGCACCTGCGGGAGCCGGAAGCTGCGTTGTAGGGTGCTGGCCTGCACCTGCGGGAGCCGGAAGCTGCGTTGTAGGGTGTAGGAGTGATGGGAGCAATGAGAAGCAGGGGAGACAGAGGGCTGCTGGTGTGAATCCTGCTGTACCCTAGTGAATGTGAGAGCACTCTTTATATTTATTTGTTTTAGAGATGTGTTTTACTTGTTTCAAAGAAAGAGATGCAGAGCAAGAGAGAAAGAGAGAGACATATTCCATCTGCTTGTTCACTCTCCACAGGGCTGCAATGGCCATAGCTGAGGTATTCCAAAGTCAGGAGCCAGGGGCTTCCTGCAGGTCTTGCACATGGGTGCAGGGGCCCAAGCATTTGAGCTGTCCTCTGCTGCTTTCCCAGGCTGTAAGCAGGGAGCTGGATGGGGCGTGCAGCAGTCCCATCTGGGGTGCCAGCACTGCTGGTGGTAGCTCTTCCCACTAAGCCGCACTTCCAGATCCCCGAGTCTCTCACACCATGGGTTTGGTGGGCACCTTGCTCCTGCCTGGTGGGGGAAGTCCGCTCCATGCCCTGCAGAGCCCCACAGGCTGTTGCTGCTGTTTTAAATGTAACACTCTTTCTCTTGTTAGTGAGTTATCAGTTCTGGGGATCCTCAGTGGTACTAGCCCATGGCATACGTGCTCATTCGGTGGTGGCTGTCCCCTGGGTGACCCCTGACAGTGAACCCCAAGTGTGCAACAGGTTGTGGCCCTGAGATCGTCTGTGGTATAGTCCCTGAGGGGACGTACCTGTGCCCCTCCTGGGGTCCTGGCCGTGATGGATGGGCAGTGCCATGGGAGTGAGCGCCCTCGTCTGGGCATCGCCCGTGAAGAGAGCTGGTGGACACTGCCAAGCAGATGTGCAGTGCCTGGCCTAGGCATGGCATTCTGTGTGTTGGTCACTCCCATGGCCACCTATGAGCAGCACCCCCACCGCACAGGTGCAGGGGCCCAGAGGTACACCTGAGGGGCCTGTGCAACCCCCATCCCATCCTGTCTTTTTAAAGGGGAAGCCATAAAAATGTCAATAATACTTTGTGTATTGTTTTAAATCATATCATTTCTGATGCTTTGAGAACTGAGTGAGTCTGTTACCATTTTAAGTTTAAATTCTTAGACATTGGAGGGTAGAAAAGTAAAAGCAATTGCAGTGCTGTTCAGTGCCCGTTCTCCCCAGCCCCAATTCTAACCGGGGGCTGCAAGCAGCATCCAGTGGCCCCCGCTGCCCCAACTCCTGTCCTCCCTAGCTGGGTGTGCCGCTGTGACCTGGTGAGAGCCACGTCAGAACATGGCGAGACACTTCTTCCATTTTTACATTTTTGAATATCGAGTCTATGTTTGTCATAGTTCACGTTCCTTCCCTTGTCCCGCTCTACTCCCTCCACTAAGCCTTTTTTGTTTCTTTTTGAAGTGCTCTTTGATTTTTGAGAGAAATAGCCATCACCTTCTGAACAAAGATCTCTGAAATGAATCTGGTGGGCTTGAAGCTGTGGGGTCCAGAGAAGAGACCCAGGCCCCATAAGGCCTGAGAGCTTTCGCCGTGGGAAACCGTGATGTGCTGCTCCAAGACTGTGGGAGAGGAGCTTTGTGAAGACACAGCACAGGGTGCAGGCTGAGAATGGAGTGGGTAGACCACAGGGCCCCAGCAGGAGCCCGTCAGTGAGCTGTCCCTGTGACCAGGGTGCAGAGGCAGTGGCTAAGCCACTGGGCCACGGGGAGCAGCCCTGTCAGTGACCTATCCCTGTGACCAGGGAGCAGGGGCAGTGGCTAAGCCACAGATCCTGGGGCAGCAGGAGCCCGTCAGTGAGCTGTCCCTGTGAGCAGGGAGCAGGGGCAGTGGCTAAGCCACCGGGCCATGGACAGTAACCCATCAGTGGCTAAGCCACCGGGCCATGGACAGTAACCCGTCAGTGGCTAAGCCACCGGGCCATGGACAGTAACCCATCAGTGGCTAAGCCACCGGGCCATGGACAGTAACCCGTCAGTGGCTAAGCCACCGGGCCATGGACAGTAACCCGTCAGTGGCTAAGCCACCGGGCCATGGACAGTAACCCGTCAGTGGCTAAGCCACCGGGCCATGGACAGTAACCCGTCAGTGGCTAAGCCACCGGGCCATGGACAGTAACCCGTCAGTGGCTAAGCCACCGGGCCATGGACAGTAACCCGTCAGTGGCTAAGCCACCGGGCCATGGACAGTAACCCGTCAGTGGCTAAGCCACCGGGCCATGGACAGTAACCTGTCAGTGGCTAAGCCACAGGGCCACGGGCAGCAGCCTGTCACAGACCTGTCCCTGTGACCGGGGTGCGAGGGAGCAGCCTCCTTAGAGCAGTCCTGTTTTTTCTGTAGCAGTACAGACTGTGTAAGGGACAGGGCTGGGGAAGTAGTGCAGAAGGCTCTGGAAGCAGGGCCAGCCTGGGTGGTGGGGCTGAGCTGCAGCATCCGCCGAGAGCGAGGAAGAGAGGCCCTGTGTGACACTCGTGTGCCATGTCACAGAGGAAAACCTGCACACTGTGTGAGGGGAGGCATTAGCCCAATTTAGGAAGTTTTGTTCTTTTAAATTAATCAATTTATTTTTTATTCGAGGGGCAGAGTTAGAGACAGAAGGAGAGATGGAGAAGAGAGAGAGAGCTCTTCCATCCGCTGCTTCACTGCCCGAATGACTGTAATGGCAGGGGCTAAGTCAAGCTGATATGAGGCCAGGAGCCTTCTTGATGCTCCCACGTGGGTGCAGGGTCCCAAGGCTTTGGGCCGTCCTACGCTGCTTTTCCAGGCCACAAGCAGGGAGATAGATGGGAAGTAGAGCAGCCACCCACATGAAACCAGCACCCACATGAGAAGGCTCAATGTGCTATGCCATGGCCCCCAGGCCAGGCTGGGTGTGTGTGCTGGGTCGGGACGCTCCTGCCAGCATGCAGGACGCCTCTCTGGAGTGATGATCTGCCCTCTAATCAACCGGCCTTTCAGGGCGCAGCCCGGGGCAGTGGGAGCCCTGACTGATGCGGCCCTCGGGGACCGTAGCCCACTGCCCCCTTCTCTCAGAAATGAGGTCCCCTTGCCAGCTTGTGAAGGGTCCAATTTTTTCCCAGCAGTTTGCTTGCTGCCACCTTGCTGGACAGTGAGCTGCAGGCTGGGGCAGTCTGGATGCTGAGGCTTCGCTCCGCACTGGAGGACGGACGGAGTGGGGCCACCGTGCCGCCCTGGGGGATGAGGTCCTGTGACCACCATGGCACAGAGCGCTTACCCCCCAAAGCAAAAGGAGGCTGACAGAACCATCCGGGACACTGTGCTTTTTTTCTTTTCATCATGGTGGTTGCGGGGAGTTGGTTTTGGTTGTCGGAGCTGGCATGTTTTGTGAAGGGAGAGGGCAAAATCTCGAATGGTGTTTGACAAAAAAATTTCAACTAAAGTGTAGTTGATTGTCTACTATAAAGTATATTTGAATTCATGAATCAAGACTTCACATTGTCTTAAGAACCAATGAAAGCCGTCCACTGTACACTGCATTTTCTAGAGAAACATTTTCTCAATCATTTATTTGCGAAAGAAAACCTGGCATTTAGCTCCTTACAAAATATAGTGTCACACTGCCATCTAGTGGCAGGCTTTCATATGCAACAGGAATTTTAAAAAAACACTCTTGAAATTTATGTTCACCCACTGTGCACTGCCGGGTTCCACCTGTGTTTAATAATGCAGCTCTGAAATATGTGGGAATATTGTGAGCCAGATGTGCAGAGAAAGAAGCGTTCTCCCCAGGTCGATAAGACCACAGATTGCCTTTTTACACAGAGCTAACGAGAGATAAAAACCTTCTCAGTTTACTCTTATTTATCATCGTCATATGAAAAGAGGTTTTAACATATTTTCTTGGGAACTAAGTACTGAAGACTGATGTGGACAAGTGCCTTACTTCATCGATAATTTAATTTTCTTTAGGTAATGATTTTTTTTTCTGAAACTGCCAACATTTGTTTCTCATCCATGCTTTCAGCCGAAAGAGCGTGCCCTTGTCAACCTTGGATTTACCTTTGCAGGTATCTGTGCGACCTCCACGCGCCCGGCGACCCGGCCTGGCAGTGCATCGGGGCGCAGCACCGCTGGATCCTGCAGCTCATGCACGGCTGTAGGGAGGGCTACGTGAAGGACCTGAGAGGCAAGTGCTGTGGGCGCGGCGTGTGGCCCTGGGTGGGCACCATTGTCCCTGAGGGAACCCTGGTCTTGTCTCCCCATGCACAGACCTCGTTGGGGTTTGCTTTTGGGGAAGGCTTCGTCTGAGCCGGGAACTGGCAGGGACCCAAGAGTTAGGGTTCCAGGCAGACTACAGCCTGAGAAGAGGGGCCGCCTGTGCGAAGGCCCCAGGGACGAGGCAGTGGACTCAGGGTTCGGGGAGGGGGATGATGGGCGGAGCTGCAGCGTTGGCAGGCAGGCAGGCAGGCAGGCTCCCTGACTCACCAGACATGGGCGTGTTTCGGGGCCGTCAGGTGCTCGGGCACAGTGGTCAGCACTGCAGACAGTGGTGCAGGAGGCAGACATGTGGCTGACCCCAGACACTGTGCAGCACACTCCTGGCGGAGGCCACAGGTGTCCCGGGCACTGCCTCAGCTCTTAGCCCCAGCCCCGGGCCGGAGCCGACGTCGGGAAGCAGCATGTCCTCTGTGTACTTACTTTATGTTTTCAAGCATGGTGCATCTGAAAGAATGAGAGAGTGATCCTCCAGCTGGTTCATTCCTCCAGTGCCCATGGCTACAGGGGTAGGATGAGGCATCCGGATCTGGGTCCCTCTCTCGTGGGGGGCAGGAAGCCAAGAACATGAACCATGCCCCTGCTGCCTCCCCAGGCGCTGGCTCAGGAGCACCAGGGGAGGTGACATGCATCCCAGGTGTCCCAAGAGGGCACAGTCAGAAGCCTGCCTCTCGGGGTGATCTGCATGCCACTCTGTATCTACCCCCCGCCCTGTCCATGCCAGAGACCCAGAACCCAGAGCTGATGACCGGAGAGTGCCAGGGACTGGGCTGCAGCCTGGAGGCCAGCAGCCTCCTGGGAGCATCACACACATACGGAGGTGTTGTGATTGTGAAAATAGTTAGGAAGCTGATGTGAATGTGACGAGAGAAGGGCCGGGGCCGGGGGGATAGCAGGGCACAGGAAGCATCCTGAAACAATGGCGGACAGCAGTGGAGAAGGGCTCCCAACCTCACAGGAGGGGGAGAGGTTTGATGGCAACTCCTGCCTGCACTCATCAGCACCTGTAACACAGCCTGCAGGAGGACCGTGGACCATGTGTGAATTTCTGGGCCACGTGTCACTGAGGAAGACAACCTGCAGCCTCTCAAGCTGGAAAGACTCAAGGGAACTTGAGGTTATCTGCCTCCTGTATCCACGGTGTTCCATCAGCGTGGGCTGGCGTTGCCCATGTGTCCCTCATGGGTCCCTCCCCGGCTCCTCGCTGCCTGTGGTCGCCATGTGCTGGCTTCGCAGCGCTGAGAAGTGGTGGCCCTGGCCTGACTGTGGCTGGAGGGGGCTCTCCCAGCAGCGTGCGGGGATCCTGTGTGAGGTCGTGCAGGGCGTGGGAAGCGGCCCGGCTCATCAGTGACAAGCCCTGCCTGGCGTTGCTTTGGTTAGTTGTTCTTTTCACTGAGCAAACGAAAACCTCACTCGGCTCCGAGTCCCGGACCCGTTTCTGGAGATTTTGTTAGGACGGTTCCGTGTGGCTGTTGCTTAGTCAGCCGATCACAGGGGGAGTAGCAGTGCCTTTGACCCTAAATACCTCAGTCGGGCGGTGGAACTAGGGCGTAAGCGGCCGTTGCTTCATTTTGGAGAACCGCAGTCAGACTGAAAAACCAGGAGGGTAACCCTGGTTCAGCACGCAGCAGCTGCTGCCGAATGCGGCACTGGGCGGACTGCGTGGAGGCCGAGGCACCGCGGGAGGTGAAGGGGAAACATCCTTGGAGGACCCAGGAGGGATGTGGCATGTCGGGGGAGGCCCACTCTTTGCCCATCAGCTCTGGGGACACACGGGGCGCCAGGGACTGTGCACCCTCATATCCTGTACTTCATCGTCTGGTCACGCCCCTCCTGCTGAGCACTGCCCGAGCACCTGCTGCTGGCCGGAAGGCCCTGGGTTCCCAGGGGGAGTTACAGAGCTGCAGGCAGGGAGTTGCAGGTCCACAGGCAGGGAAGGGGAGCCCTAGCTCCCCCTGGCTAGTGTCTCTACTTTGGATATGAGCCCTGGGAAAGTGAGATGCTCGTCATTTTAAGTAAACCAGAGCTCTGAGCTGCAGACACTGTCCTATGAAATAAAATATAGTTTTACGCAGATTGAGATCAATATTTGTGGTGGGAGGAGAATCCATGATGTCTTTTTAAGTAAAGCTGGCCTTTCTGTATGAATCTAATTAACATAGGAATATATTTTTTTAGTCTTTGCGCAGTGGATGTGGGGGAGGAATGTTAATTGTATTTAGTCTGGTGCTCTGGGGAGAGGATTCTGCAAGTGAAGCGGTGACGGGTTTCCGAGGCGGCCGTCCTGCGCACGCTGCTGCCTTTCTACCACAAAGGTGATTTTGTCCATGAGGCTGTGGGCAGCCAGAAGTGGCCGTCCCTGGGAGCCCGGCGCCAGGCCACGGGGCGGCCGCCCATGAGGTACCCAGCACGTGGTGCTGCTCTGGGCCTGCAGCGTGTCTGGTCCGCCCAGCACGGTCCTCATGGTCCTTGGGGCACAGTGCCACGGCCTGGTTGCAAACTCTTGGTTCTTCTAAGGGGAAGAAAAGCCAGTGGGTGAGGTGGGATGGTGTGAAAAGAACAAGGTTGAAACCCAAGTTTTCTAAAAGGGCCATCTTGAAAGCGGATGTGTGTGATAACCCACGAGCTGGGTGGTTGCCTGTTCCCTGTTCCCCAATCTGGCTGCGAGCCTCCTTCTGCCCTTCCCCTCTGGAGCAGGCAGCCCCTGTCGTGAGCTGTTGCACGCTGTGGAGCTTGACCACCGGTAAAGAGGTGACCTCTGACTTCCAAAGATTGCACAGGAACTCGTGGTCCACAATTAGCCCGTGTCTTGCAGGTTTCCTGCCCGGCCCCCCTAACCCCACTTGGGGACAATCTCTATTCTCTAACAGGGTGGTCTTTCCGAAGGCGGTTTTTGCCTTTGTCCTGAAAGTGAGTTTAACTCTTAAAAAACTCTGCTGGATCTTCCAAGTAACCAGAGGGAAAAGGAGCCAGCCTGTCCCTGGAGCCCGTTTGTTCCTCTCCTCCAGCAAAAACTTAACCTAGGAGCCTCCGAAAGGGGACCTCCTGGCACCGGGGCAAAAGAGGAGACGTTTGGGATAGGAGCCCTAAGCCACAAATTCTTTGAGAAAGACTGGCATGCAGCAGAGGGAAATGGTTGGCCCAGGCCACGGGTACTGTTTGAAACACGTGAAAGACAGTTACACGCCAGCAGTTTGTTCCCGATCATCAGAGAGATGATCTTTTATAGGAAGCAAATTGTTAAGAATAGAAGCTATGCTAAATATTTATCCCGTTAATAATTTCACACATGCAGCAGATTGTTAGTTACTGGCAAGGAGGAAAAATATTTATGCTTCTCCAAGGACTTCCAGAAATAAAAAGGCCATGTTTTCAACTCAGGTTCAGAAACAGCCTTCCTAGAGTATATGATAATTTACCTACCATCTTGGGAATTTGTGTAACTCCTATCTTGTCTTGATATGTAACAATACAACTGTGGCCTTCACACACACATTTTTACATGGAAATGGCTCTTAGGTGGTGGGGCAGAGATCTGATTCTTGCGTTACCACAATATAGGATTGCTCTGGCTTCCCACTGCTGCCTGATTAAGTTGCAGCCTTCAGGAAGTTGTCAGCAGGTTCATTTAAGTTCCACAAAACTTGTCAAAAGTTTCTTTCCACCATTAAAAGGACAAGCCAGGGTGTTTTATACATCGAGTAACTCTGACCGTTAAATTTCAGTTTTTACTCTGGAGTCCCGACAGTGACCTGTGTTATGGGAGGTGCCCTTCCGGGCATTCAGACGACCACCTTCTGGGTGTTGATCATGCTTTACGGGAGGTAGGGGGGTGTCGCACAGAAAAGGGCAGGATGGATGCTGCGTGTGCGTGGGACGGGCGGCTGCGCTCCGGCTTCTCCCTGTATCAGTGGAGCACGTCCCGGGAGGGGGCTTGGAAGCTGAACTGGCCACTGTCCGCCAGCTTAGGAAGGAAGGGGACACCCCCGGATGTGAGGCTGTGCCTGCTACAGGGGGTTGTTGCGGCAGAGCCTCTGACAAACTGGCAGGATTTGATTCACCTGCCTTGGGATTCGGCCACCATCGAGGCATGTGCAAGGGGGACGACTGGGAAGTCCCAGTTGATGATTAAAACCCAGATTACGTGCCCTTCCGCAAAACAGATGTCTCATTTTCCTTTCTCTCTCATCCCTCCTTTTCTTTTTTTTTTTTTTTTGTCTTCCTAGAAAGAAAGGGGAAAAAAATCCCTCAATCCACAAGTTCGATCTTAAACGCATCCGGCATTCCGACAGAGAGTGTCCGCTGTCCGCTGCGAGCCCTGTGCGTTTCTGACCGGCAGTGCGTGCACAGCTGCAGGGTTTTTAAATTTCATTTGAAAAGATGATTTTAATCCCCTCCAAGTTCAAATTAAGACGGGTAACTAAGGCCAGTCATTTACGCAGGGCTTCTGTTGCTTGTCTGTTGTCTAGGACTTAAGGATTGGACTAACCTGCGGGGGCCACGCGTGGCTGCTGGCCGGCCCAGCGTGGACTGTCGGGGGGCTGCATGAAGATCTCTGACAGTTTCTTCTGTCTCAGGACAGGTTCTGCTCAACCTTCCGTGAACGCGCCGTCTTGCTCAGCTCAGGCAGGCCAGAGGGCCCAGGCGTGGAGGCCTCCGGGCTCTGTCCTCCCCTGGGCTCACTGTGTGTCAGGGAGGACTGCGTGCAGCTGGGAGGCCATTGCATCGTCTAAACCCATCTCTGCTTAACAGAACATTTAAAAAGTAAACTGACCAGAAAGGTAGAGCACGCGTGGACTGCCAGCGTTTCTGTATAATTACAGAATACTGCTCTTACAACTGTCTCAATGGGACATCTGCTATTTTTGTTTTATTTATTTATTTTGTTTATTTATTTATTTGTTTGTTTTAAGTGTGTTTTCTCTCAGTAAGAATCTAGGTGGGGTGCTGAGGGGCAGGGGTGAGCAGAAGGCATAAATGGTGATGTTTGGGGTAACCACTTGTCCAGCTTGGCTGCCCACGTGGGTGTTAGGCCATCAGTGCTTGCTCAGGGGTCACTCCGTGAATGCTTTTATGATGCATTCTCTTTCCTGGAACTGTAATTATGAGTGACATATCGGAGGTGTGCCTTGGAGCCTGTGCCCAAGCAGAGTGGGAAGGAGCAAACAGGGGTGTCCGGGTACAGCCCTCTCACTTTAGTCTGGGTTTCAGTGTTACGGGCTCCATAAATCTGCTGAAAGTAACTGAAAACCGTAGTACCTGTTGACCGTGCATGGTGGAAAGGTAGGGTGGATTGGCCCTGGGTGGCACCGTAGTGTTATCTCCCTTCCCGCCTCCCCTTCCCTTCATCTCCCTCTAGGTCTGCAGGGGTCGGGAGCCAGCTGGAGCCCGCCGCCCGTGTTTGGTCAATAAGCAGCTGTGGGTGGTCGCGGACAAGGCCCCTGCTGTTCACAGGCAAAGGCGTTCAGGGGTGCTGCCAAGCGGCAACTCCGGGGCCGCAGCCGAACAGGGAGTGCGTGGAGGCTGGGAACACAGAGGGGCCTCCTCGCCTGGTGCCGCCTGGTGCTGCCCGGGTGGTGCGTCCCCACGCAGGGACGGCCTGCCAACCTGACTCGGCTATGACCTAGGGAGGTTTCCTGCAAGTCCCAGCTAACAGGAGTCCTCCTCCTTGCCCGTGTTTTATTTTTATAGATTGCTGGGCTTCAGCATGTTGTCACAAGCCCAAGGTCTCAGGCCTGAGCAGCGACTGTGAAGCTGGGGTGCTTGTATCTGCAGACAGCCCCGAGGTGCTGCACACACAGCAGCACCCAGCACTGGCCCTGGGACCACACACAGCAGCACCCAGCACTGGCCCTGGGACCTGTCGAGCAAACTGTGCAGCACTCGCTGATTTCCTTTGATGAGTCTCAGGCTTGGGTTCTGGGAAGTGACCAGGACTGCATCATTAGTGGCTTTGTTGTCCGTGTATCTGCAGCTTCTGAAAATGAATTTCCCATCTCTTCACCTTTATTGAAATGAAATTCCTGTTCTATGTTTATTATCGTATTCCAAAAAAAAATTTTTTCCCAGTTTTGGCTTGTTGGTGATTTGTTAAGCATGCCTGCGCACTCACAGAAGGAAAAACATCCCTGTTGAAAGTGCTCATTGCAGCTGCGGCAGAAGGTGCTTAACTGGAGGAGGAACATTCTGGCCCTCGGTGCTCCGGAATGAGAGGGCTGACTTATGTGTGTGCGTGAAGCTGTGCCCTGAGCACGCTGGCTGTCCCGTCTGTGGTGTGTGCCTGTGTGTGTGCCTGAAGCTGTGCCCTGAGCGTGCTGGCTGTCCTGTCTGTGGTGTGTGCCTGTGTGTAGGTGAAGCTGTGCCCTGAGCGTGCTGGCTGTCCTGTCTGTGGTGTGTGCCTGTGTGTGGGTGAAGCTGTGCCCTGAGCGTGCTGGCTGTCCCGTCTGTGGCGTGTGCCTGTGTGTGTGCCTGAAGCTGTGCCCTGAGCGTGCTGGCTGTCCCGTCTGTGGTGTGTGCCTGTGTGTGGGTGAAGCTGTGCCCTGAGCGTGCTGGCTGTCCCGTCTGTGGTGTGTGCCTGTGTGTGGGTGAAGCTGTGCCCTGAGCGTGCTGGCTGTCCCGTCTGTGGTGTGTGCCTGTGTGTGTGCCTGAAGCTGTGACCTGAGCGTGCTGGCTGTCCCGTCTGTGGTGTGTGCCTGTGTGTGTGCCTGAAGCTGTGACCTGAGCGTGCTGGCTGTCCTGTCTGTGGTGTGTGCCTGTGTGTGGGTGAAGCTGTGCCCTGAGCGTGCTGGCTGTCCTGTCTGTGGTGTGTGCCTGTGTGTGGGTGAAGCTGTGCCCTGAGCGTGCTGGCTGTCCCGTCTGTGGTGTGTGCCTGTGTGTGTGCCTGAAGCTGTGCCCTGAGCGTGCTGGCTGTCCCGTCTGTGACACACAGTACCAAGTTCTTATCAACACTTCCCTTTTGCAGCTTTTTTTTTTTTTGCTTTTGGTGTTTTTGTGATGCACTTTTATTCTCAGGCAGAATTTCTGCATCTCCTTGATATGTGGAGGGAAACTTTTTAAATGCATCTTGATTATCAAACAAAACAAACCAAAAGCCAAAAACACTGAATTGTAGTAGCGTGAGCAGCAGATGAATTTTTGAACTCAATGTATCCATCCTTTCCTTTTCAGCTGGCCTTTTTATGTCAGATGTAACCTTCTGGATGTGTTTCTAATGCTAAAAGGAGGCAGGCTTCCTTTGTAAACACATCAGGAAACTCTAATTTTGCTGTCAGTTTCCTCAATTCTGCAATTAAAAGCCATCGTGACTAACACAGATTTAAAAGGAAAATATCACCAGTCATGAAAACTCCGACATAGTATGTCCTCTTTACCTACTGGAAAATAAAAAAGAACTAATATGTGAATACGTGTTTCTTACGTTTTGGTATTTTTTCTGGCACATGTTTTTTGTGTTTTGCTTAAAACATGCTGGGTCTCTCTGCTCTCCCAAACCCTTACGGAGTAACAGGGCATTAAAAGTATATCAGGTTCTACGGTTCTTTGATGTAGATCATAAGCAGTCTGACTCACATTGATTATTGGGTCATTGCTTACATCACAGCATCTTATTGCATGTGATACAGGCTGACTTCAGGTTGAAATAATATTACAATTTACAGGTGCTATTTTTTAGAGTGACATCATTTCATCTTTAATTAAGGCAGACATGTGGTATCTATCCTTTTGGGATTGGCTCATTTCTCTTAGCATAATGGTTTTCAGTTGGACCCATTTGGACAGAAAGAACTGCGTTTCAGTTTTTTTTGTTTTTTTTTTTTTTAATAGCTGAGTAGTATTCCATGGAGTAGATGAACCATAGCTTTCTTATCCAATCTTCTATTGATGGGCATTTCGGTTGCTTCCAAGTTTTTGCAGTTACTGATTGTGCTGCTATGAACATGGGGCGCATGTCTGACAGGCTGGGAATAAGTGTTCAAAGCTAGTTTGAGAAAAAATATCTCCAGTGGAAATGCCCTTCTGTGAAGAAGCGTGGAATTGCGGAACAGGAAGTAGTCTCGGTGACACAGGATGCAAAATGTGCAGAGTTGGAACTGCAGCCATCTCACCTCTCGATGTCTCTTACAGGTAACCCCGGGCCGCACAGCCCCATGCTGGACCCCGAAACCGATGCCCGCCCCTCCTTGGCACTGGCCCACCTCGCCCAGACGGCATCACTCAAGAGGGGCAGCAGCTTCCAGTCTGGGCGGGATGACAGTGAGTGTCCCCCGCCCCCACTCCCGCCGGGCTCCCCACCTGATCTCTGTCGCGTGTGCTCCTGTGGTTTGTTGGGCACGGCACAGTTCCATTCTGGCTAGCCGTGCTGCCAGCCTGCGGCTCTCCGCTTGTCATGTGACCACACATTGATTGAAGCCACTTGGTCCCTTCTCTGGGACGGCTCTTACAGACCTGCTGGACCCTAGGTTACCCTGTAGATGACACAGGCTGTGTTCGTTTCCACTCCACTTGTCATGATAGACTCAGTCACTGAACCTCCACTGTTCTTGCAACTATGTGTTCCTATGATCTATCCAGAAGGCAGAGTGAAGCAGACAGAATTCCTAAGGCAGAGCTCCCACGTGGATGGCAGGAAGCACCTGGGTTCTCCAGTCTGGTACACCGGCACCCCAAGCATTGTTGCACCCAGTAACCCACTCGCCTGCCCCAAGCTCCAGCTTTCCTGATTTTTTTCTTTTTAGATTTTTTTGTAAAGATTTATGGATTTTTATTTGAAAGGCAGATGTACGCAAAGAGAAGGAGAGACAGAGATCTTCCATCCACTGGTTTACTCCCCCAATGGCCATAATGGCTGGAGCTGGGCCAGTCTGAAGCCAGGAGCCTCCTCTGATTGTGGCACGTGAGTGCAGGGTCCCAAGGCCTCGTGCCTGCCTTCTGCTGCTTTCCCAGGCCATGCACAGGGAGCTGGGGCAGAAGTGGAGCAGCCAGGACTCAATCATGTACAGGATGCCAGTGCTGCAGGTGGAGGCTTAGCAAGATTTACCACTGCACCATTCCTGTCACCCCCTTAAAAAAACAAAATCCAGTGTATATGCTGAGGCTTCCGGGAAGTGTGCTTGCTGCCGTCCTTGGATCTGTTGCTGTTGGGGGATGCTCTCTCCCCGGGTCCCCGTTATATGGTTCAGGGGGCTTGTTTGCTGTTTTCCCCAGCGTGGCTGTGTCCCAGACACCGTGGCTGCTCAATGCCAGGTGTCTTGCCTTTGCTTGTCTTCCTTTGGAGAATCAGGGCTTTTTTCTGTTTCCCCTGGCAGCTCGGTTACTACCAGGACATTGCCAGGGCCCGCTGGTGAGCTTCACCAACAGCAGTTCTAGAATAACTTCTCTCCTAGGGACCCTCAGCCTTGTCTTAGCACCACTTCCCTGCCACCTCTGCCATCCAGAAACTGTCCAAAGGGAGACAGCACACGAGTCCCCTGCCTTGGGCGCCTCCGCCAGGCCCTGCCCAGTGCTGTCTGGGTCCGTAAACAGCTGTCGGGTAGTTCTTTGTACTTGTCTGACTGTGTGGTGCTTATTCCTGCACGGTGGGAAACAAGTCAGAGTGAATCAACTTTAATTTCTCCACATAATTACCTGAAATGGGAATGTACAGAAGGATGGTTTGCAGTGAACGGAAAGTGCAGAGGAAGTGCAGAGAGCCCCTTCTGCACCTGCCTGTCAGAGCAGCACTAAGGAGCCTGCATTCTTAGCCTGTCTCCTCCAGAGGAACACGGCGTGTTTCCACCCAACCCCTCAACCCGTTCCTTTCATTGCTCTTGGGATGAAACAGCTCCTGATATTGTCTGATCGATCAGTGATAAGTCACGGGGGCCTGTAACTTGGACACAGTGGGTTCTGCAGGAAAGAAAAATCCAGATTCATTCTTCCCATTGGAGCGATGTGAATGTGGAAGACCTAGATTCAGAACGAAGGTGGTAAGGAATATTCTCATAAGATACACATGTACATGCTCAGCCTTGGTAACAGGAGCAGCACCAAGAGCTGCCCACGGGCCAGAAGGCTCTCTGCCCAGCCCCGTGGCGATTGAGCACCGGCGTGTCCGGCGTCCACAGGCCCTGGGCCCAGCGGGGTCGGCCGGTGGCAGGGTGTAGGAGCTGTGCTGGCCAGGCCACTGCGCTCAGACTGCACACGCCCATGGAGCTGCTGTCAGGGACCGTGCGGAGGGCTTTGCAGGTGGCACACTGTGTTTCTGCCCGTAGTTATCATCTACAGTAAGTCCTAGAGTGCCAGTGAATTGATGAGCTTACCAACAGAAAAGCTGCCTTGGCTTGGTCATTTTTTACAGTTTTTTTTAAAAAAAAAATTATTTTCAGTCTGAAAAGTTAGTGTCCCTTCCCTTTGGAAATGGAGAGCGGTGTCTGTGCTGGACCTCTCGGGAGGCCCATTCTGTGTGTGGAGTACATGCAGGGGCAGATGTGGCGTTATAGATGTTGTAGAGCCCACGTGTGGATGCGGAGTGTGGATGTGCCATCCTTCCGTGCTGACTGGTCCAGTCTCCACGGCTCTTGTAAGCACCCGAGCACAGGAGGTGCAGAACCAGTGGACCTCAGACTGTCGTCCTGGGCTTCCCTGTGCGGTCCAGCTGTGCCAGCCCCAGGGCGCTGGAGGTACTGGGCCAAACAGGCCGAGCTGGCGTTGCGCTGCAAGACCACAGACAAGCCTTCTCAGAGTTCTTTGTTCTTTTCTCCCCCTTAGCCTGGAGATACAAAACTCCCCACAGGGTGGCGTTTGTTGAAAAGTTGACCAAGCTTGTGTTAAGTCAGCTGCCCAACTTCTGGAAGCTCTGGATTTCCTATGTTAATGGAAGCCTCTTCAGCGAGGTGAGTATCTGAACCTGGCCCTAGGGGGAGCTAAGTCATTGTGGATTTCTAGGGTCGAAGCTGTAAGGTTGGGAGGGAGGGAGGGAGGCACCGATTTAAAGAACCGCATGATCCAGTGCTGATAGCAAGTGTCACTTAAGATTAATTTAAAAATTAATTTTGTGTGTTGTTGTTTGTTTTAAGAAAGTCTCTAGCATTGAGTAAGCTTAGGAGCTTGGACAAGTACCTCAACTTCTGGAACTCAATTTCCTCATCTCTGAGAATAGTAAAACAGGAAGGGTACCTGTCTTGAACAGGTGGTAAGATTAACTGGTCAATTATAGAAGAAAGAAAACTTAAGTACTGTCAGTGTGGCGCACGTCAGATCCGGTGATGGCTGCACTGCTGTGTGGTGAGCCGCACGCACGGCAGACGGATGCAGTAGTCACAGTTTGTACGCAGGTGCCCAAGTGTGTTTTTGTCTTATTTTTTAAATTAGCCTTTGCATGTTCATGAGTTACCTGTTTTCTTAATATTTTGGTCATCATTGGTAGCACAGAAAGTGTGAAAAGAAGGGGACGACTTTGGAGTTTGTGTGTAGTAAAAAAGAATCAGACTCATTATTTATTTTAATTAATTTGTTTCTGAACCAGACAGACACAGCTGTCATAAATGGTTCACGCCCCAAATGTCCGCCACAACTGGGGCTGGATCAAGCCAAAGTCAGAAGACAGAAACCCCATCAAGGCCTCCTGTGGCATCACCTGCTGGTTTCCGGGGCGCACACTAGCAGGGAGCTAGAACGAGAATTGGCCTTAACTGGGCACCCCTTTGTGGAATGCAGATGTCCCAGGCAGCAGCTTAACCACCACTGAATGTCCACCCCAGGGCTTATCACTTGATAGTCTCGGGTGCGGTGCTCCCTGGAAGGTGTACAGTTCCCGGGACGCGCTGGTGGACCCGAGTGCCTGCTGTCTTAAGCTGCGTCAAGGGTCGCCCCGTCAGGTTCAAGCAGCGGAGGCTGGGAGGAGCTGGGTCTATCTGTGGGATAAGCTCGTTCTTGCCGCCTTTGGACTCAGCAGTGCAGAAAGCAGTCATGGGAAGAACCAAAGCTGCTCCTGAATGTTTGCTCTCATGGTTTAAGACCCTTTCCTCCTCTCTCCTCCTTGGAGGAAGGAAGTTACAAGTCTGGGTCCCTCCAGGCTTGCTGACCATGAACATGAATTGATGCTGGGATTGGAGAAATCATATTGGATCCTGGATTATTTTCTTTCATCTAGTTTAATTCTTTGTCCACATTTTATTTTTCATTGTAACCTACCAGATTCCTAGGTCCTCATTGGTTGCTTATGTTCTTGTTCGTACAGACAGGCTTTCTAACCCATAAACATTTACTTAGTGCAAAAGGAGAAGCAGCATGTAGAAGGAGCCTCTTGACTGGGACTTAGCAGTACATTATTGGTTTTTTTTTGTTGTTGTTGTTGTTTTTTTGAGATTCAACAGCATAGGAACTACCATGTACTTTACAGGTGAACCTTCCAGTAGCAAAGCATTCACTTTCTTCCTTTCTTTCTGCATCACTTGATTAGGCACAAATAGCCCACCACCCCTCCCCCAGGCACGGCATAGAGGAAGTGATGAATGTCCTGTGGAGTCTGGCTGGGCTGAAGTCCCTGGTGTTCTTGGGGCTCTGCCTCTGTGAGTGTGTTGTCAGCTAAGCCACATTCCCACGAAGCTCAGCCCGGGACGGTTGTGCAGCGTGCAGTGCTGAGAGCAGCTCCAGGCTGGGGAGGGGTGTGGAGCTCTCGGTGCTTCGGGCAGTCTCCAGAGCCGATAGCTGCACTGCACGCATGGTCCCTGCTTAGAAACTCTCACCCTGTGCCCCTGGACCCAGCGAGCTCCTAGACTTCCTCCAAGCACCATGCACAGTTTACCAGAAGCATCCATTGTGTAGCCCTCCTCCGCTGTGACCTCCGTACCCTCCTGCCCTCTTCCACATAGCTGGCTTGAGAACTCATGAATTGACCTAAGCCGAGTGCTTAGAGCAGTTATGTCTAACGTAATTGGAAGTTAGGTTGGTTCTCGTTGTTTGTAATTACTGCATGAAACCTCATCAGCTTGGCTCATGATGGGTCTTCATTGGACAAAAATTTGGAAGCATCAATATATACTAGACTGATGAACTGGTGCAGCAGATTGGTAAACTCAATTGAAGAATTAGTCCCTTAGGAAGTTGATTTAAACCATATTTTTTCCTAGTCGATTATTTCTCTTTGATGTACTACTTATATGTTGCCCACGATGCAAGGATATATCAACTGCCTTACCTTGAGTCTTCTTTAAGATTTAATTTTCTTGAAAGCAGAGCTGCACACAGACTTAGACAGACAGAAAGACACCTTCCATCTGTTGGTCCACTTGCTAAATGGCTGCAATAGCCAAAGTTAGGTCAGGCCGGAGCCAGGAGCCAGGAGCTTCGTCCTGGTCTCCCACATGGGTGCGGGGGCCCAAAGACTGCTAGGGCAGGCCAGAGCCAGGAGCTTCGTCCTGGTCTCCCACATGGGTGTAGGATCCCAAGGACTTGGGCCATCTTCTGCTACTTTTCCCAGGCTGTCCGCAGGGAGCTGGATGGGAAGTGGAGCAGCCGGGACTCCAGTTGGCAGGCCTGTGGGATGCAGATGTCACAAGCAGTGGACCTGCTGGGCCACAATACTGATCCCATCTTCAGTCTCTTTTGTATCATTAGAAGCACTGAGAATTTTTGAATAGGGACATTTCAGTGAAAAAGAGACTTTTCCTTCATTACAAATTCGTATGTAGTTGTGACTAAAAAAAAATGTATGAAATAGTTGGTTATAGTCGAAAAAGAAAAGCCTTCAGAATTCATGTTCAGCACTTCTGTTGAAATGAAAAAGCAATTTTTTTGGATATGCTTTTCAACTTAGCTGATAGGTTTGCAGTAGCGGTTATAGTTTATTACAATTCATTCTGTAGACTCAGGCATGCTTTTAAACTGTTTACCCTCCACTGCAAATCTAGAAAGGCTTGAAGGAAAGTGGAGGGAGTGGAGGTGGATATGAGGAAAGTGGGTGACAGACCGCCACTATCAACTTGTGAATGAAACTCAGAAACTAATTACATTAATGCTAGGAAAGTTTGGGGTTTTCTGATAGCTGATATTTCATCTCATACAATAAACATTTACAATATTTTAACACAGTTTTCTCACAATTTTTTTTTTTTTGCTATAGAACTATTTTGCCTTATTAATAATCCATCCGTTAAAGACTTAGGTGAAGTTTCCAACAGCTTAAAAAATATTGGTTTTTCAACATATGTGAATCAAAACAGTGAAATCTAGCCGTTGGTCTTACCACAAAGTAGTTTTGGTCTGCGTGTGCAGGAAAGACTTAAGGTTTTTAGTTAACGAAATGGTTAATAATAGGCCAAGATCTTATCTCTAGCTACAATTTTAAAGACAGGGCACTTCTGGATGAAAATCTAAAGCATCCAAATAATGGTTAAGCACTCGGAATCAGCATCTTTGAAAGACATGTAATTTGTAGAGTGTAAAGTGAAAGGTCCTGTATGTTCCAGAATTAGCTTTTCTTTTAAAAACAGGATGAGTCTTAAGTTAGTCATTCTGGTGGCGGTGTCCCCGTCCCCATCTGATCACAGGAATAAGTGACTGTTGGCTGATGAACACTGGCAGGGACTGTCCAGGGAGAGTGTTTCCTGTACCCTTCCACCTGCTTCTCACATGCACGGAGGCGCTCTGTGACACACTGCACAACTCCCAGCTCTCCAGCAGGGGGCGTCGCTCAGTCGTGAGCATCGGCTTGATGGTGAGGTTGTTTTGAGCCTTGTTTTGTTTTTATTTCTCCCAGAAAGTTGAGACTTTTTTTTTTTATTATTATTCTGTAAAGTAGACACACAGACACCAAGTCAGAGACATTTAGACAGAGATTTTCCAGGCATGGGCTCACTCTCCGAATGTTTGCCGACAGCCGGGGTGGGACCAGGCTGGTCAGGAGCCTGGAACTCCCCTGTGGCCAGCCACGTGCGTGGCAGGGACCCGCGTGCTGGAGGCATCACCAGCGGCCTTTGCGGTGCTGCGTTGGACAGAAGCTGGAACCAGAGGCAGACTTGAGCTCCGCTTCCCTGGTGAGACTTGTGGGTGTCCCCAGTGACATCAGAGCCACCAAGCCAAGCATGTGTCCCCAATAGAAGGCTGCTTTATGATACAGCGGTGGTCTTTATTATTATTATTATTATTTAGAACAATTTCTCCTAGCAGCTGACTATGAACTGTGCCTACACAGTCCCACTCTGTACCAAGTTCAGGTGCCGCTGGAGCTGTCATTAGGGGAGGTGTGTGCGGTTCTGAGCTGCCACATTGGTTACCCCAGAGTGTGCCAGGCCCCTACACGGCTGCGGTTTCCCAGAGAAGCAGAGCCACTGGGATGTGTGTGCACGCACACGCACATATATACACGTGATTGTGTATATAACATACACGCTTGCACACACACATGCACAGAGATGCCATGTACACACACATTTACTGCAGGGAATGGACTCGTGTGACCGTCTGCAGGCTGGAGACCCAGAAGAGCTGGTCCCAGCGCCTGTGCCGACGCCTGAAGAAGGTTCCTCGTTTGCACTCATGTCGGAGGCAGGAGAAAGCCAGGTCGGCCACCCCAGGGCTGGCCCATCCACCTGGCGTCACTGTCATAGTCTTGAAGGGTCTCTAACCAGCAATAAGGGTTTAAATTTGTAAAAGATTTTCATATTGTTTCTATTTGAAAGACAGAGTCAGAGAAGAGAGAAAGCAAGGAGAGTGAGTCTCACCTCTGCTGACTTGCTCCCCAGATGGCTGCTGCCATCAAGGTTGGGTCAGACCGTAGCCAGGAGTCTGAAACTCCCCGTGGGTCTCCCTTGTGCCTGCAGGTGGAGGATGAGCCTACTGTGCTAGGGTGCCGGCCCCCACTTTGCATAATTATGTTACTGCTTTTTTATTTTGAAAGTTTATTTAACTTGCCTTTTGGGGGGTCATTTTAAATAAAATACAGGTTTTAGAAAATTTGTTAATGAAAGCTGAAATTCAATGGGATATGCTTCTTGTAACCTTCCCTGCATTTCTTTAAGTAGAAAGAAAAATATCAGGAGAGTATGAGTTACAGCGGTAAACAGGTGGAGGATTAATTTAGGAACATGTATTAAGTTCTGTCCTAAATTACAGTGTAAAATTCCTATAAGAAAAGCAGTGGCTTACAATTAATATATACATATACATATATATATGTACATATATATACATATATACAGTGGCAGTTTAAACACATGTAGTCACATGTACCACAAGATTGGAATAGATGCCTTAATATGACCACATCAATATTCAAGTTTGCGCTTTTATTATCTCTGCTAGAGAATGTGGGTTTGATATTTGATTGTTAACCCTAGGGCTTGTTGCTGAAAATGGCATTGGAAATTTAATTACCAAACTGCTTTCAATTTAGGATCATTTAAGGGAATTACAGCTCACGTTTTTCAAAGTATAAATGGGCTTTCTGCTGTCATTAGATTTCCCGGCGTTAACACAGATTATTACTTAAGCATTCCTTTTCATCAAGCTGAAGTCACGATTCATGCCCTCTTTGTGGACACCTGGCGAAGCCCTCCTTGTTTTCGCAACTTTCCAAACTACGGCCAATGCGTATTATTTCTGTCTTTCGCTCTTTTAGACTGCCGAGAAGTCAGGCCAGATTGAACGAGCCAAGAATGTGAGGCAGAGACAAGGCGAGTTCAAGGTAAGTGGAGGGTGCTGGCTGTGCTGAGGCTGAATAGCCGAGCCTGGTGCCTCGGAGAGGGAAGAGCCTCCCTCGGTCACGGGCTGGAGGCTGCCAGTCCCAGAGTCCTTGACCGTGGCAGAAGATGCGAAGAGGGCTGGGGGGCAGAGGGTCCCCCTGCAGCGGTGGCTCAGCCCCCAGGAGAACAACCCAGGGCCCAGCAACATTGCTTCAGTCTCCCCGAGGCCTCCCGGAGCAGCGCTGCCCTCCAGGGCTGTGGCTAGAGCTAGAGAGTCCTTTTCACAATGTGGGGTTTTTTTTTTCTCACCTGAAGCTCTGGCGGGGCCTTCCCGCTAAAGCGTGTTGCTCACACATGACCGTGGGGTTGGTTGTCTGCTGAATGACGCTGTAACATGTGGTCCCCCTCATTCTTCCCCATGGCTGACTAGAAAATGATCCAGGAGGTGATGCAGTCCCTGGTGAAGCTGATCCGCGGGGCTCTGCTGCCGCTCAGCATCCGGGAAGCGGAGGCCCGGCAGTACGGAGGCTGGGAGCTCAAGGCCGAGCTGTCAGGCCAGTGGCTGGCTCACGTCATCCAGACGCTGAGGTAGGGGTGCACGCAGGCCTGGTAAGGGAGAGGGGTGGGGCGCGGGGAGCGGGATGTACCGTGCATTATTTTTTCCCTTTTGGAAAAATAATAATAATAAAAACCATTACTCAGTTATGGGATATTATTAGCACAGTCAACAAAGCTGACATCAAGCCACGCCCTTAGCCGCTCTGGAGCTTGTGTGGGATGGGCCTGTCACAGCATGCCTCCATCACTGACGGCAATGCCACCAGCCTTACAGGCTCTCGCTGTCCGTGGCCTGACGCCATGGCAGGAGGGGCTGTGTGAACACCCTGGACTCACGTGCGCCTGTTGTGTCTCCCTCCCCAAGGCTGACCTATGAGTCCCTGGCTGCCCTCGAAATCCCCAATGACATGCTGCAGAACATCCAGGACCTCGTCCTGGACCTGCGCGTGCGGTGCGTGAAAATCACCTTGCAGCACACGGCCGAAGGTGCGTGGGGGCCGAAGGTGCATGGGGGGCTGCGGGCAGCAGGTGCGTGGGGGCCGCGGGTGGCAGGTGTGTGGGGGGCAGCCGGTGCGCAGCAGTTGGTGCAGTAGGCTGTCACCTTCTCAGCTTCCAAATCCTGGAGGGTTTTTTTTTTTCTTTAAAGAGAGGTGGTCACTCGGGGAACTGTGCATACCCTACCTTAGCTCTAGCTGCTGAACAGGCCCACCTGCCCGCATTAACTGCCGCTCTCCCTCAAATTTTGAAGATCATTTGAACTCAGCTGAGATTCAGGATTGAGTGAAAAATTTAAGATGTGTATACTTTGGCCTACAGTGGGTCATAACTAGAAATGTCAAATATGAGATGGATATTCACGCACACTGGTACACAGAGTATTATTTCAGGTTTGAGAATGTATATTTTGTAAGTTTAATTTAGAAAAAGATCAGTGTAAAGTCAGAGTGAGACTGTTGGAAGTGGTGCTACCGGTGGTGGCAGTTTTTGATGAGTCACGTTGTCTTTAGACTTTGAAAAGTTTCCAGGGTTTCTCTCTGTAGAATCATAGAAAGAACAAATACCGCTTTTACTAAGAAGTAGCCCTTTTGGCTGTTACAACAGTCGAGCATTTTTAGAACTGGCTCTCACCAGCCAGTGCTCTGGCAGATGTCCTGTGTACAAGGTGTAAGTGGAGAGGGGGGAGCCAGTTGGGGAATGTCACATTGGTCACCACTCCCAGGCTCCCGAGAGCTGGGCCAGGCTGCGGAGCTGGAGGGCAAGCAGCTGCGGTGCCTGCAGCCCCGGAGGGCCCGTGATGCTGCAATTAGGAACCTTGTAGATGCCAAGTAGGATCCAGAGCGGTCAGCAGAACAGTGCTACAAGGCTTCATGACTTACCATACGCACGTGTTATGAATACTCGAGAACTAACGTACCGTTGACTTATGTTATATTTTACGCTAGCCTAGAATTCTCCGAATCAGGCTTTGCAGCACCAAACCACCAAGACATGTTTAATGTTTTATTAAGAAAACTCAGTGAGCAATACATGTTTAAATCCCCACAGCTCCCCAAATCGTATTTTGTCCCCACCGCTGTGGCGTCCTTGCAAGCCAGCACAGCCTGTGTGGGTGTCGTGTCCCGGTGTGGTGAGGCGACCATGCTAAGCAGGGTCCGTGTGCTTGTCTTCCACGCAGAAGTGAAGAGACTGGCCGAGAAGGAAGACTGGGCTGTCGGCAACGACGGATTGACTTCTCTGGTGAGCTCGAAGTCTTCTCCAGTGTTAGAGAGAGTGCTCTAGTCCAGGTGCATGAAGCATGGTATCGACAAAGAGTGCACACCCTCTGGAAATGAAAAACTTAAATCTAAGCTTTGCAAAGTGTGCCTCCTTGTCACGTTTTACCAGCGCCCACCACGAGTATTTACAAATCCGTGAAAGTGGTGGCAGCTTTCTTCGGCAGTGACCACCTTCTGTCTACCTGCGTTTTTGCTTGCATCACTTCTGTTAAGATACTTGAGGCTTCATTTGAAGTATTCTGTTGCTCAGTCCATAAAGTCTTTCAGCAAAGCAAGACAAAAGAAACACTGTTACAGGGCCTCAGTCCAGACCAAACTGGATGTGACGACTGACAGCACCCCGAACCCACATAGGTCAGATGCACTCCGCTCATTAGGGAGTCATCATTTTCTTAGTTGGAACTTGAGGCTCTCAGAATGCCTCGGAAAGCAGTGTCCATGTCACTGCGTGCTCCTGTGTCTGTGTTGTGCCCAGGCTCCCCCCACAGTCCGACAGGGGGATGTGCAGCTAGGGCAGTCCTTCACCACTGAATCTTCCACCTGCTTCCACGAAATGGGTTCCCTTTCCCCTCCCGAGAGCCTGGCACCTCAGACCTGAAGCCAGAGCCCACAGCCCTGGGCTTACTCATAGCTGTACTTCAGCCATGAAGTGTCCAGCACCCAGCCAGCACAGCACCAGGCCACTGTCCTCATGTCTTCACCTGCAGTTGGCCAGAGGGTAGTCACATCTGCCAGCAGCCATTTCCATCGGTGGCATTGTCGTCAGACTGGATTCTGGGGGCTGGGAGTCCGGGTCAGAGCAGCCTGCAGCTTGCACCTTAGGTAGGGTGAGCGTCCACAGTGGCCTTCACTTGCCTGGATGTCCACACCCACACCCGTGTTCCCTCCTCTCGTTCGGATTCCGGACTCCTTACTGACCGGCTCCCGCTGGGTGATGGGAGGTTGAGCCCATCCCGTTCTTCCCAAGGCGGAGGTTCTGTCTAGTTGATTGCTGTATGTATGAATGACCTTGTGTTGTGAAATAATATGGTTTAGAAAAGCAGTGCCTCTCTCTTGAAGTAAAGTCATGCTTGAAGCAAGCTAGGGAAGTTTGTCATTAGGGATCGTTAAACGGCAATTGTGTTTTAAGGAATGTAGCTCTCGTACAAGCATGTTGATTGGGTGTAGGCTGCAGTCATCAGTGTGTTTACGTAAAGGTTATCTTCTCATTCTGCCTCGCTGAGTCAGTCTTGTTTTGGACTTGACTTGAAGCCTGTGGGAAAGGAGCCATGCTTCAGGAGAGCATCCTGTGTCGACAACGTGTCCCAACAGCAATGTTAAATCCAGTCAATTCAAGTTAACCTCATTCCCTTGTAGGTTTGTGTGTGTGTGTGTGTGTGTGTGTGTGAGAGAGAGAGAGAGAGAGAGAGAGATGGTCACTGGAAAATCTAAACTTTCATCCGTGGCCGAGTTAGAGGCCCACACGTGCTTCTTGGTGGACAGCACTGGGGCGAGGGACACGTTGCATTGAGTGTAAGCGTCAGAACCTGGTTCAGTCCTCACGGTGCCCACAGACCACGTGACATGCCCAGCTCCGGCGTCTTAGTGTTTAAAGGAGGGGCAGGAGCTGCATGGTGTGCCGGGATTAGATGAGATAGATCAGGCTAACGCTCCTGCAAAGTTCTAGACAAACCCGACAGACTCTTACTTGTTAAAACTTGTCAGACCCGAGGCCACTAGGCTATGATACCTCATGGTAGCCCTCACTGGTTTTCCAAAGCTCTTTCTACAGAGGGGTCACCACAAAGTTCCTGGGAACTGTGTTTAGTGGAAGAAAAACTGTGCCTGGATTTCCAGAGGTTTTGCATAGAAATGATTCTGTTTTCCCACACACTGTCTCCCTCCTAAAGTCCATCCTGGGTATCACAGCCTGTTTCCAGGCTGGACCAAGCAGAGTTACTGAGGTCCATCCAGGAATAACTCACTCCAGATATGTACATGACAGCTTCCTGAGCTCCCCTCACCGACCCCGAATTTGCACTCTGCCAGGCCAGTTTGTAGTCAGACGGCTCTGAGGAAATGCGCCAGCCAGTGCGATGGACTTGCAAACTCTGAGGGGGTCTCCTCACAGTCCAGCACACTCGCACGCACACACGCACGTCTCTGAGCAGAAAAGGTCTGTCAAGGTCTGGAGCAAGAACGAGGGTTGATGTGGCATTGTCGGAGCTAGCACCCTTCCTTGAGCAGTGGCACCGCCCCCACACCACAGCCCCTGACTTCTGTCTCCCTCCGCCTTTCCTTTGCGTCAGCTTGGCCTTGTCTGCCATGAGTCTCTGCCCTGTCACTGGGCAGCGAGGCGTCCCTCACCACGTTGGTGACAGAGTCCCAGCTTCGCCCTGCTATGACTGTTCTTTCAGCTGAAGCCCCTCTCTTCCCCTCACACCCTCTGAGGACAACTCATCTGAACGTACCGTGTTTTCTCCTGGGGCTCAGGATGACTTCTCTCTCTCTCTCTCTCTCTCTCTCTCTCTCTCTCTCTCTCTCTCTCTCTTCTCTTTCTATTTTTTAGTTTTCAGTGTAGACAATTCTGAGAATCTTCATTCTTGCAGCAGAGCAAGGGGTGGTAGGTTCTTACTCTAAGCTAAACCGGGTGATTCACAGGTACGGCACAGAGGCAGGCCTGTCCTAAAAGCCAGCGTGCAGGCTATCGACTACTCCAAGTGTCGTGGAACTAGTCATAGAGCTTTCTAGTATTTTCCGTCTATGTGTCATTTCAAGGTATGTATAAAAATGCGACTAATAGCAAAGTCGGCTTCAAATTTTAACACAGGAAATGAAAAGAACTGCACGCGAACAGCAGCCTCGAGCTGCCCACCGTTAGATCTTCTATTTAATTCTCAATATTGTGGCTCTAGTATTGTTTTCACGTCTTAAATTTCCCAGATTCTCAGGCAGAAAGGTCAGATAAGTGACATCACTCACAAATGTGGTGAGTTCCCTCCTGTACTGCCCTTCCCCCCAACAACCCAGCCTCCTCACCCAAGCCCCTGCTTAGTTCTTTTAATTTTCCTTTGGAGTGCCCTCTGGTGGTTTCAAATTGCAGCCGTGAAATAGAATTATTGTATTTCTATACTCTGCTTTAAAAGATTTATTTTATTTATTTGAAAGGTAGTGTTAGAAAGAGTCAAGAGGTCTTCCATCCGCTGATTGACTCCCCAGAAGGCTGCAAAGGTCGGGGCTGGGTCAGGCTGAAGCCAAGAGCAGGGAGCTTCCGCTGGGTCTCCCACGTCATTGGCGTAGGGATCCAAAGGTGCGGGTCATTTTCTGCTGCTTTCTCAGGCCCTTAGCAAGGAACTGATCGGGAAGTACAGCAGCCAGGACCCAAGCCAGCACCCGATGGGACACAGGCAACTCTAAATCTCTTAGAATCTGGACCTGTTTGCCTTGGACCCCAAGACCCAGGCGTACAGACTTTGATGGGGGCACCTCCCACCTGGGATAGATGAGTAATGGGCAGTCTTTTTCTTCTTGCTCCCTTTGTGTCCCTGAGACCCAGAGTAGAACCTTCCGCCCAGTTAGGACCCGAGTGTCTGGACCTTCTCAAGCGTGCCTTGAAATGCCCTTTGCTACTTGTGCTGCTGACTTTCACTTTCCAAGCTAATGAAGAGAGGGAAAGTGGCTGCGCCGGCCTCTTTGATGTAAGGAGCCTGTACCCTCTCTGACGAGTAACCCTGACTTTTGCTGGATTGTCCCAGAGGTATGGAAGGTTAGGGAAAGGAGCTCAGCCCATATAGCTGAGAAGTTGCATGGACCGTGTAAACACATTCGTTCATTGCCATGTCATCTGCCTCCCAGAAGAGTGATATTTCTGGGCAAGTTTTTGATTGCTTCTGATTCCCCTTCTGGATGAGTTAGAATGTGGTGTCTTGAGAGTCACCTATCTTAAAATTTCAGGTGCAAAGCATAGATCAAATCAATAGCCCATGTCCAGGAGATTGCTGGTGAGGGTACTTCTGTGGGTGTCCCTTCCATGAAGGGGGACATGCTGGTTGCTGACCGTCTTTGCATCTGTCACGCATGTCTTGAGAGCCAGTATTTCTTTCTGAGCGTTACAGTGGGCCTTTATTCTCTTCCCTCCAGCCGTGCCAGTTTGAACAGTGCATCGCACACTCCCTGCAGTCGCTGAAAGGTGTCCTTGAGTGCAAACCTGGAGAAGCCAGCGTGAGTTTCCATCCGGATCGATCCCTGTTCCCTTGGGAGCCATGGCTGTGCGTTCTGAGCCGTGGACACGTGGGCGCTCTTTCGCCCTCCTGTTGGGCTTACCAGTTCTGAGACACGTGGGTGAGCACAGGTGATGCGGAAGGAAGAGGAGGGGAAAGCTGCCACGAGAAGGCCTTGTGTATGGGCCTCACAGCTGACCTGTCCGGGGCGCCATGGTCTTCTCCCAGTGCGCAGGATGGAAGACCACCTGGAGGCCAGTCTTGTGATGCAGGGAGTGTGTGCCTCTGAAGCACTTCTCTGAGTTTGGCCTCTTAAGCATCTCACTCAGAAAGGAAGTTCTGTGCCATTTGAAAGGCCAGGAACATTCACTAGAATTCTTCCTTTTAGGTCTTTCAGCAGCCCAAGACGCAGGAGGAGGTTTGCCAGCTGAGCATCAACATCATGCAGGTAAGCTGAGAAGGTAGTGAGCCGCCCTCTCCCCAGCCCCTGGGAAGCACAGCTGCCTGTCCCCGGCCCCTGGGAAGCACAGCTGCCTGTCCCAGCCCCCCGGCCCCTGGGAAGCACAGCTGCCTCTCCCCAGCCCCTGGGAAGCACAGCTGCCTGTCCCCGGCCCCTGGGAAGCACAGCTGCCTGTCCCCGGCCCCTGGGAAGCACAGCTGCCTGTCCCCGACCCCTGGGAAGCACAGCTGCCTGTCCCCGGCCCCTGGGAAGCACAGCTGCCTGTCCCCGGCCCCTGGGAAGCACAGCTGCCTGTCCCCGACCCCTGGGAAGCACAGCTGCCTGTCCCCAGCCCCTGGGAAGCACAGGTGCCTGTCCTCGGCCCCTGGGAAGCACAGCTGCCTGTCCCCGGCCCCTGGGAAGCACAGCTAGGACTGGTGTTTGCTGTCCCTGCCCTCATGCTGCACTTGCTTTGTGGTGAGCCACATAACAAAAGACAAGTGTGCTTCAAAAACTTGCAGGAAAATAGGATAAAAATTTAGTTTATTTGGATGCAGAAAACTGAAATGTGCACATTTGTTCGGTTCTGATAAAACACATGGCCCTTGAATGTCTTCAAGAGCCTTCATGAATTTGAACACAAGGTTAACTCCAAGTTGCCCTGGGTCTGGCCAACCATCGCGTTGATGCTGTGCTCTGCTTTTCTGGGTTCTTGCAGCATTTGCATCTGCTTTTGTTAAAGCGCAGAGTGGACTAAGCGAGAGGGAGGCTTTTTCATTCTGTGGTAGAGCGTAGCGTCTAACGATTGGCTCCATCGCCTTGTGGGCATGGAGCAAAGTTGAGCCTGCTATGAGGAATGAAAGGAGAGGAAGCTGTTTTTTCTGAAAATTATTCAGGAACTTGACACCCGATAAAAGCATTGATACTTTAGGTTTCTCTTATAAACATGCAGCATCTCGTACCATACCGTATGTAGTCCTGCTCTAAGTTAAGTAAAATGACTTTTCTTGTCGGAATAAATGTACTGTCTGAGTTGGTGTCACTGAATCCTGTTATTTCTGACTCAGGTTTTTATATACTGTCTGGAACAGTTGAGCACCAAGCCAGATGCAGATCTAGACACTACGCAGTAAGTACTGGTGTAATAAATCTTGCTGATGCATTTAAGGGGATTCGACATTACAGGCCTGGTCCTAACATCCGAAGACTTCCAGCAAGAGAGCTAGACTGTTCATGGTCAGGTCGTAGTTGTATGATCTGTGCTCTTTCCGTAATTTATCTACCGAGTTCGACTTAGCAGCTGTCCAGGAGGAGACATTTTCATAAATGATAACAGGCAGTTGGAGCACGTGACTTGGAGCTGATGACTTCCACAGTTGTGGCATTAGGCGTTTGCATCAGGACTCGTGTCAGGAGGCCCCAGATGTGGGATGATTGAGTTCTGCATTGTGACATGCTAATTCTTCTCTAAGGTGATCTTCTAGATAACGAGACAAAAATACTGGGTACCTATGAGCTCTTTTCCAAGGCTGATAATTGTGATTCGAATGCCTCTTTCACTGTCGGCTTGAGAGGTGGCCGTTTGTGCAGGTGCTGCTTGGGGCACCTGCCATCCCATAGCGGAGTAGCTGGTTTTGTTCTCTGGCTGCAGTCCCGTTCTAGCTTCGGGCTCGTGTGGACTCCTCAAGTGGTGGGCTCCTGCTTCCTGCACGGGGAATGTGGATGGAGTTCCTGGCTCCTGACTAGGGTCTGGCCTAGGCCTGGCCATTGCAGGTGGTCGGGGAGTGGGTTAATGAGTGATGAGCCCAGTCCCCCCGTCTCTGTCTGTCTCGCTCACTCTCACCTGTCCTCTCAAACCATGATTTTTAAAAAAATGTTTAATTGGTAATTTGGTAATTTTTTCCCATGTTTGTCCATGATCTGGTATCGATTTTTATTTTGTAGCAAATAAAACTATCACCTGTAGAAACTCTTGAAATTTCTAATTCTTCTAGCTCTTGATTTGACTGTGGATCTTGCTCATGGTTCTACCGTTAATCAGATCTGTCTGTGCTTTCTATAGCTTGTTTCAATGTCCTTCAATTCTAATATTTAGTGCAGTGTTTCCTGAACTTTATCTTCTGTTCCATTTCTTCAAGTATATTTTATATCAGCTAACACTATTTGAGTTCATGCTACTTTATATTTTAATATTTATCGTAGTAGAATATTTTTAACCTGTTTATTTTGAAGCATATCATATTTCCATCAGTTAACCGCAGTTTGTCAGATTTAAAGGGAAGTCAGCGTAGTTGGAGTGTTCTTCTTATTATGGTTCCGCTATACTTGTGAATTAATCCCTGGGTCTTTGAGCTGCCCTTCTCCAGATTTTATGTTTCTTGTTACCTGTGGGTTACCCACTGATTTCCTAACTCCACTCACCTGTTATAGTTCACTATGGCGCTGAGCTTGATAACTCAAGTGAAGATTGTGAGAGAGAAAAAACACTTTAGTTGAGCAAGTAGCTGGGATGTTGTCATGCCCCATTTGTTCATTTGTACTTAAACTCAAATTTGCATTTTTCTCTTTGCATGTTTTAGGTTTCAGTGATTTAATTGTAACTGTTCTCTCCTTGTTCCTCTGTGTTTCAGTCTCTCCGTTGATGTCTCCTCCCCCGATTTGTTTGGAAGTATCCATGAAGATTTCAGCCTGACTTCAGTAAGTAATCATGACCAATGTAGTCAGGCCTCTCACCTTAAAGCTGCCTCATGGCTCTTCCATGGACCCGTCTGCATTGCCCCACATGTGTCACTGCACCCTCATGTCTCTTGCATGGATCTGTCTGCATTGCCCCACATGTGTCATGGTGCCCTCATGGCTCTTGCATGGATCTGTCTGCATTGCCCCACATGTGTCATAGTGCCCTCATGGCTCTTCCATGGACCAGTCTGCATTGTCCCGCGTGTCACGGCATTGTGGCTGCAGCCTGCGGTGTTCAACACTGCTGTGTACTTTTGAGCTGTGTTGTTTCACAAGGCAATTTTTAAAAAGTGTGGCTTGTCGGCATTCAGCATTTCAAACTCTCTAGCTAGAGCTGCATCCTTGCTAGTGCCACACAGCATCTGATTCCCAGCCAGAGACTGTCTAGGTTAGGTTTGGCAGGAAGCGAAGGACAAGGGTGCTCATTCCTTCCCTTTTTTCCCCTTATCAACCAGAGAATTTCTGCTTTGCTCCATTTTGTGTCTGTAAGGTCTGTAACAGCATTTTATTTGAATAGATGAAACCAAATCTCTATATATGTATATATTAACATATAATTCATGTGTATGCTTTTTTAATGTATATAGGGAAGAGTTGTATACATACAAGCATTATCACGGATATAAATCCAGCTGAATTCGTAACAGTTGAAGTGCAGAATCCCCTTTGGTTTGTTTGGACTGTGTATGAGTGAGTGAGTGCAGATTTATAAATATGAATTCCTAAATAAGGGGTCTGATACATTAGGAAAAGAATAGTTTAGGTGAAATAATCTTAAAATTTATTCTAGTTTAATTACGCATACAGCTAGGTAGAGAATGATTCCATGAACTGCAAACAAGAGAGAATTCAAGAAGAAAATGCCTTCTAAAGAAAAATCAGAAATTTGGTTTCTGAACTGAACTGTTGGATGCCGTAGTTAGGTGGAGCTGCCTGGTGGGTAAGGCTGTCGCGTGCTCTGTGTGCATGCCCAGACAGGAACCCAGAGGCAAGCTTGTGAGTCAGCACTCCATGTGCAGCAGTGTAAGGCCTGGGGTGAGTGGAAATGTAGAGACAGACACCTGCAGTGCTGTGACACGGGGTCCTGGCTGGGCTCACCCTTAGAGTGGTGACGGTGTGCTCCCGCGGGGGTGGCCCCAGGCTATCCCATAGTCAGGCTGCTTGGGATTCCAACAAATGCAGCTGTCAGAACTAGAGTAGTCTTTCCCTCTGCAGTAGTAGCCAGGGATTTTGCCTCTCCCAGTCTGGACGTGGTGAACAAGCAGATGGGACTTAATAACCTGGTACTAAGAGAGAGAGAGAGAACACCTCAAGTATGAAATTAGTATGTGGAGGGGCCTGGTGGCGTGGCCTAGTGGCTAAAGTCCTCACCTTGAATGTGCTGAGACCCCATATGGGCGCCGGTTCTAATCCTGGCAGCTCCACTCCCCATCAAGCTCCCTGCTTGTGGCCTGGAAAAAGTAGTCGAGGACAGCCCAAAGCCTTGGGACCCTGCACATGTGTGGGATACCCAGAAGAAGTTCCTGGATCCTGGCTTCGGACCGGCATAGCATCGGCCGTTGCGCTCACTTGGGGAGTGAATTATTGAACGGAAGATCTTCTTCTCTGTCTCTCCTCCTCTCTGTATATCTGACTTTCCAATAAATAAATAAATCTTTAAAAGAAAAAAAAAGAAATTAGTATGTGGAGTGCCGGTGTTATGGGCACGGCCCGGGCAGGCAGAGGAGTGGTAACCGGGCATACGACATCCACGTAGGGCAGATGGTAAGGAATGTGCAAAGGCGAGCTTGCTGAACAGGATCCGCCGCGGAGGATCGGGGTCCTGTGCGATCGGGGCCCAGTGTTCTCAGGGAGTTGAGAACCTCTTGCTTTGGCTGTGAGCTGCTTTCCAGCTGTGCGACTTGCCAAGTACTGATCAGACTCTGCACTCTGCATCTTCCCTCCGTGATCTGCGCTTTCACTGTCTGAGTGGGAAGGGAAACAACCCGGCTCATTCCAGTGTCCTGACGCATTTACCTCATATTCAAGAGGCTTCATGGCTGGTTGGAACTTTAATCCATTTCGAGGTGAATTTGTGCACAGGCAGCTAAGGAAGCTTCACTCTTCTGAAAGTAGATCTCTGATCCTCCCGGAGCCACTGAGGGCAGAAACATCCTCCAGTGGACGTGCCTTGCAGCTGTGCCCGAGATCAGCAGCCTTGGAGTGTGTGTGTGTGTGCGCGCGGGGCCGTGTGTGTATGTGTGTGACTGTCCCTTTCAATGATGATTCCCTTTTAGGATAGAAAGATAGTGCAACCCCTCTTGTATTGATCTTTGTGCTCCAGGTTGCTGTGGCTGTTTGGGGTTTTTTTATGGTTGCACATACATTTTGGCAACTTGTTCCCGTCCTGGCTCTGTGGAAAGCGTCATTGATATCTTGTCAGAGATTGCCTTGACCCTGTGTCACTTTGGCTGGTACAGACATTTTAACGATGCTTACTCTTCCAGTGTGTGCACGTAGGGTGCCGCTCCATTTCTCGGGGTACCCATCCGTGTTCTGTAGTTTTTTGGAAGGGTTCTCTGTGCATTCATTAAATGCATTCGTAGGCAGGCTGGAGTGTAGGCACAGTGGGTCAAACTGCTGTATGTGGTGCCAGCATCAGTTCCACGGTGCTGATTGGAGTCCATGCTAGTCTGCTCTCAGTTCAACTCTGTGCTAATGACCTTGAAAAGGTAGCAAGTGATGACCCAAGCACGTGGACACCTGCCACCCAGAGAGAGAGAGAGCAGAATGGGGTTCCTGGCCCCTGATGTTAGCTTGGTCCAGATCTGGCCGTTATGGCTGTTTGGGAGTGGACTGGTGGTGGAAGCTCCCTGTATATGTGTGTCTTCCTGCCTTGCCCTGTCTGCTGCTTGCCTTGCCAGTAAGTCTTTTGTAAAACACATCACTTTTGTAGCTTTTGGAAACAGAATTGCTTTCCTTTATTTATTATTTTTTAAGATTTACATATTTGTTTGAAAGGGAGAGTTAGAGAGGCAGAAAGAGAGAAGCTTCCATCTGCTGGTTCACTCCTCAGATGAGCACAGTGGTTGGAGCTGGGCATGTCCAAAGCCAGGGACCCACATGGTACAGGCACGCAAGAATTGGGTCTTTCTCTGTTGCCTTCCCATATGCATTAGCAAGGGCATGGACAGGAAGTGAAGGAGCCAGGACCTGAACCGGTGCCCGCCGCAGGTGGTGACTTGACCTGCCACACCACAACACTGGCCCCTGGTTTTCCTGTTTTTTCCTTTTGTTTTTTTTTTTTCTCAGATAATTCACTGTTGACATGTAGTAAAATAGTGCTACTGGTTTTTACACATTGACTTTGCTGCAGTGTTGTTGAATCATTTATTCAAGTATTTATTTATTTTGATTCGAGTGTTTGTTTCTGCATATAAGATCATGTCATCTGCAAACAATCACTGTTTGACTTCCTCCGTGCTAATTTGAATGCCCTTCCTTTCGCTTGGCTAATTGCTCTGGCTGGAAAGATATGGAAGGCTTTCCAGAAGAACCCGGGGCAGCCGTGGGGGTCAGTGGGAGATGTGAGCCGTGCTTGGCCAGGCGTGCGGCCCCGGCCCCTCCGAGCAGGAGTTGGCTCCCAAGGTTACTGCTTCAGACCCTTCTGATGTAGGTTGGTGTGATCACATACAGGAAGAGTAAACAGGGCCCGGCGCTGTGGCCTAGCGGCTAAAGTCCTTTCCTTAAATGCGCTGATCCCATATGGGCGCCAGTTCTAATCCCAGCAGCTCCACTTCCCATCCAACTTCCTGCTTGTGGCCTGGGAAAGCAATCGAGGACGGCCCAAAGCCTTGGGACCCTGCACTGGCGTGGGAGACCCAGAAGAGCTCCTGGCTCCTGGCTTTGGATCAGCGCAGCAGTGGCCATTGCAGTCACTTAGGGAATGAGTCATCAGACAGAAGATCTTCCTCTCTGTCTCTCCTCCTCTGTATATATCTGACTTTGCAATAAAAATAAACAAATCTTCAAAAAAAAAAAAAAAAAGGAAAGAGTAAACAAAGCCTGGGTGAGCTTCCCCACACGTGGTGTTCTTCCGTTGCTCTCAGTCAAGGACTTGAGCCCAGCCCCCAGAACGGCCACGCTGGTTCCCTCACACCTGCAGGAGCCCAGGCCCCAGCGCCTCGGTGAACCACAGTGACGACGATGACAGGGCCTATTCCTGGAATTTTATGTACAGAAGTAATTCCTCTGAACTGCTGACAGAGTGGTGCACTGATTGACGCTGGGTGCTGAGAACTTGTGTGGGGAGAGCACCCTGGAGGATGCAGAGAAGCCCCATGCCCAGGAGGGACCCCCTGGAGCAGAGACCCTCACTTGCCGTCAGAAGGCTAGTCCTTCTCTCTGTCCTGCATGCCACAACAATTCTTCAAGGCCGAAGTTGATCTTTTTTTCTTTTCTTTTCTTTTTTTTTTTAAGAAATGTATGCCACAATAATTCTCTTCTGAGTTACAGGGAATTTGCAGGTTATTTTCTGGTGGTTCCTACGTGCATTTTTCGTGAGCTGTGTAGAACAATAAGTTTATGTCCACCTAGTATTACGCTAGAATGTGAACAGAGAGCCGTAGCTGGGATGGTAGAATTCACGCTCTGTTTGCTGGGATCCCGAGCGCGAGCGCGGTGGCACGGTGGAGTCGTGATGAGCCAGCCGCGCGCGGGGCTGCCCGCCAGCCTCGTGGCCTGTCGCTGTGCCAGTCCTGTTGTAACGGGTGCTCTGCTTGCAGGAACAGCACCTGCTGATAGTCCTGAGTAACTGCTGCCACCTGGAGCGCCGCACCTTCCTCAGCGTAGCCGAACACTTCGCCAAGCACGACTTCCAGGGCGTGGAGAAAATAACGCAGGTAACCGAGTCGCAGCTCACGGGACGCTCCCCACGCTCCTCGGCTCCACCCCACTGCCTCCCTGAGTGGCTTCCCAACCTCCTATACCTGTTCCGGAGTTGTGAATTCAAGTACTGCCTGCCTTTTCCCTAGTGCTGGCTTGATCACCACTCATGTAGGCTGCTCAGAGTGAGGCAAGAATCTGAAACAGAAGCCTCAATCCCAGATCCTTCAGCATCACCTCGGCTTTTTGCCCCCTTTAAAGTTAGAGCTCTTAGGTGCAGCCCGTGGCAAATTGCTGAGCCTGCAAAGGGGGTGGTCTTGCACTTCCCGTCTCCTGGCGCTCCCTTCACAGGGGACTGTGATGTTTTTATGGTCCTCCTTGAGCCCCTGCATGTGAGCGCGCGCGCGCACACACACACACACACACACACACACACACACACACACACACACACACACACACACACACACACACAGCCAGCTCCCCGCAGCTGCAGGATGCTTAGCACTGTACCTGAAGCAAGCACACACACACTCTGTCTCTCCATCCCTGGATACAGAAAGCCGAGGCAGAAGGGAAAGAGAGTTCTGCACAGACCAAGGCAGGTGGGCGGAGAGCTTGTCCTCTTACAGCAGTCTCCTTTTTTGTTGATGTTTCTTTCAAATGAGCAGAAAAGGAAAAAATGAAATAGCCTTGTTATTAAAGGTTGGCTTGTTCCTGAGCAAAGGTTTATCAGATTTCTAGGTAAAGTTATGTTAGAACCATTTTCTTTAAATGTCAGTAGAATGTTCTCAATGTACAGAATCAGGATGATAATGATCTTGCTGATCTTATAATCAGAGTGTACTCTGGATGGATTGCTTTTTTTTTTTAACAATTGAATGTTCTAGTTCATAAACTTCAGCTTCAATTGGAATTTTTTTTTTCAAAGAATGAAAATGTCACAGTGGGCGGCTCTGTTTTGCTTTCCTGCCTTTTTGTAAAGATTAATCATCCTGATGAGAAAGGTGGTGACTTCAGGCTTTGGCCCCCGACCGGCTAGTTTGTTTCCAGAAATTTCTGTGTTGAGAATTGCAGGATACCACCTTGCAGTAAATGTTTCCTGTTTGTGGGAAGTGGATACTTTGTTTCTATACAATGATGACCCAAACACGTTTATTGGAAAAACTGTACTTCTCATTTGAAACGCTTTCTCTGAAGTGTGGTGTGGTGTGTGGTATATGTGTGTGTGTGAACTATTAGGCAGGAACTTCCGGTTGCCCTCATTTATATCAAGAAATAGAATGAAATCAGTATGCATTTTAAAAAAGAGGTTTTTCAGTATCCTTGCTAGTTACTGTCCAGGTTTTAAAACCAGGGTAACTTGAAGGATCCAGGGTGTTACTTGGAAGCCCCGGCGGGCTCCTCGCCACTCGGAACGCGGATTTCTTTCTCTTGACCGTCCTGCATGTTCTGACGTCACTCAGCTGCGTTTGAAATGAATCAACGGAGAGCTAGATTTAAAGTATGAAGACAGCTCTGGCTGTCTTCCTTGGTGAATGAGCTTGTTAGTGACACAGTGCTGACCAAGTGGAATCTTTTGCTCTGTGTTCGAGAAAGAAGGGCCGCTAAGGGCTCAGTCCAGGGCAACCCTGTCCCTGTGACAGGTGAGTCGGGAGGCGCTGCTCCCAGGACTGGCTCTGGGGTGGGTGTGTGCTCGGAGACAGTGCCGGTGCGCTGGGGGCTCCCACACACTGTCCTTAGACCTCCGGGCTGCCTGATGGTGGGGAGCCAAAGGTTCTTCCATGTACCATTCTCTTTGCTTTTTTTTTTTTAAGATTTATTTATTTTGGACCCAGTGCAATGACTCAGTGGCTAAATCCTTGACTGGCATGTGCACGGATGCAAATCCAAAATAAATAAATCCAAAAGATTTATTTTTATTGGAAAGACATATTTACTGAGAAGAGAGACAAAGATTTTCCATGTGCTGGTTCATTCCCCAAGTGGTTACAATGGCCAGAGTTGAGCTGATCCAAAGCCAGGAGCTTCTTCTGGCTCTCCCACATGGATGCAGAGCCTCAAGGGTTTGGTCCATCCTCTACTGCTTTTCCAGGCCATAAACAGGGAGCTGGAATGGAAATGGAGCAGCCAGGACATGTACCAGTGCCTATATGGGATCCTAGCACATGCAAGGCAAGGATTTAGCCGCTGAGCCATCTTGCTGGGTGCCTCTCTGTGCCTTTCTGTGTTGCTAGTGGGAATGTGATCAACCTTGATGCCCCTTTATCTGTGACGTACCTTCGAAAGTGGAGCTGGATCCATCCCAACACAGGAGCCATGCACCATGTGCAACCGGTGGTGCTGTAGTTCAGTGACATTTCATATGCAGTGACATCCAAGGCTAGAAAAAGTGTTCCCGTGTAGTTCTGCAGTTTTGATTTGATGCAGATAGCCCCGAGGGTCCGTTAAGGATGGTGTGTGAGTAGGGTAAGAAGTTACAAAAGCCTAGGGACTCAGAGCTGTGTCCGAGCAAGGCCAGACTGCAAATTAGGGTTTCACCTTCCGAATCCACACTGTTGTGTGTGCCATCCCATCTGTCTTAAAAGCATGAAGCTGTTTTCCTAGATACCCCAGGGAGCTGAGTGCAGGCCTTGCAGCCGGCTGATGAGCCTGGATTGCGGGGTCTTTTTGAATGAGCACCGGCTGGTCAGTCACAGGCCCGGTGTCCAGCTGTGCCCAGGCCTCCTGTAACAGAAGCCCCATTATGTGAGTGTTCAGTGGGCTTTCTGTCGTGGGGTCTCCTGTGGCCAGTGCCACCAGCGAGGGCCCTGCCACCTGCATTGCATGCATTTCCCCCCGATTATGGTGCTGTTTAGTTGTGCTTCTTTTAACTCCAGTCTGAGAGATTTTTTTTTTCCAGTTGTGCTCCCCCTGCACGCTGCCCCCATTGATAAAAGACTGCTATTATTTCTTAAAGTGGAAAAATGCAGGTAAATTTGGAAAAGTGGTACAAAGATACTTCAAAAAGTTTAAGAAAAAGTGGCGCTGAAGGATATTATACCTTTTTTATAAACTTTTTGAAAATATCATTTATTCTTTTAACAAAAGGGGGCAAAAAGAGAGAGATGGAGCGAGAGAGAGAGAGAACAAACTCTTCTTATCCTCTGGTTCATCCTCAGTTACCTACCACAGCTGGGTATGGGCCAGGCCGGGGCTGGCAGCCAGAAGCCACCTGGGGCTCCTGTGAGTGGTGGTGGAGGTGGTCACGTGCTCTCTCCCAGGGCGCGTTGGAGCAGACCCAAGGCTTGAGCTCAGCCGCTCTGATAGGATACACGGTGTCCCAGGGTGCGTCCCCACTGCCAGGCACAATGCCTGTCCTTCTGTCAGCTTGTTGACAAACCCCTGCGCTGATGGCATTCACTAGTCTATTTACCCTACGTGTCTGTTCTCACGTATGCTATGAAAACGTGCGACAGTTGTCTGCATTCCGTTTATATTGAATGCTTTCTTGTGAGTACTTTGATTTTTATTAAGTATTTTCTGTGAGATATGAGTATGAGCCTGTGGCTTTGTACTGTTGATGAATGTGGATTGAAAATCCTTCGTGACCTCTTCCCTGCCCCCAGAGCCTTTGGATTGTTTCCGGTTGTCGTTACTGCAAGGTGGATGTGGAGGTGTCCTGGTTACATGTCCAGTTGCTCTGTCTCCCAGGAGAGCTTTGCAGTTTCCAAGACACTGAGTGAAACCACCCCTCGTGTGCGAGAACTCCATCTTGTCATGTGCTGGCCGATCTTTGCAGCCAGCGTTTGAGGAGCTTGGTGCTCTGCCATCAGTTTATCAGTCACCAGTGTCCCAGAAGCGCTTGCTCGGAAGGCGTTTGGGGAGGTGGCACAGGTTGTTGCCATCAGGTGTGCATGCCAACGCTTGCACCTGTCAGACTCTGGAGACCTTGGAGCAGGAGAAGCGAGGGCTGCCTGGTTAGTAGACTGCAGCCTGCAGTTTCTCTGTGCTAACATGTTACTTTAACTTCTCCCAGGTTTTTTGTTTTGCTTTTTTTTTTTTAATAAAAGTATCTAGTTTGGTGTTTGTATAATTACACATCCTTGCCCAACCTGGGGAGTGTAAGCATCAGAGAAGCTTGGCGTTGAGTTCTCAACTTAAGTCTTATTTTAAGCCCTGAAAGGTCTTTCAGGAACTCCAGTGTGGGAAATGTACCGAGGGCAGCTGCTCTTCTCATCTTGCCAGAGAAGGGCGTTTATAGAAAACCTGTTTGAAAGATGCTGCTGGGACTTGCCACGTGTACCTCGTTTTCAGCTTAGTTAAGCATAATTCCTGAGTTCCAAGATTGAAACCTCTTAAACTCACAGACTTATGTGAGGACAGTTTTGTTTCTTTTCTACTAGAGTATCAAACTTATTATATACTATCAAATTTATTATATAAATTTGTTTAATCATCCTCATTTCTTCATAAGTAAGCAATAGCTGAATTTTGCCCAGGCACTCTTTTTGATAATAAATTACTCTAAGTGAAGCCACTTTGGAATTTGAGGTTTTTACAGAAAGCATCTGTTGATGAGATATGTCCCTGGATATGAAGCACTGAGCTCAGTTCCCAGCTCTGTTTGGGCTGTCAAGTCCCTCGTTGCAGAAGGAGCAGGGTGGGGCCAGGGTGCCTGGATCTCTCAAGGACTGCAGAAGCAGGAACTCGGGCACTGGGAGCCTTCCCCAGCACAGAGCTGCTCCGAGCAGGAGCAGCAGAGCACAGAGTGCTGCTCTGAGAGCCCAGGGAGGGAGCCCAGGAAGCACCGCAGCCAGCCCTGGAGCTGTGCACAGGGTAAGCCTCACAGGCTCCCTGGCTGTGCGACCCAGTGGGCACAGTCTGCTTAGGTCATCTCTTCTGGAGCCACGCCTGCCTCTGTGTCTGATGCCCTTGGTTTCCACAGTTTCTACCGTATATGTATATAGATGAAAGGCAGAGGTGAAGAGGGGAGACACAGAGAGATCCATCCGCTGGTTCACTCCCCAAATGCCAACAACAGCCGGGGTTTGGGTGAGGTTGAAGACAGAAGCTGCAGCCTTCATCCTGACCTCCTTGTCTGAGGGCAGGGGTCCAAACACTTGGACCATCCCCAGCTGCTCTCCCAGGCACATCAGCGGGGATCCTGGATTGGAAGCAGAGCAGCCAGGACCTGATCCGTCGCCCATGTCGGATGCCAGCGTTAAAGGCAGTGGCTTCACGTGCTGTGCTGCAGTGCTGGCCCAAGCCTGGTGAATTTTGTGATTTATAAATGATGCAGTGTTTCCCTCAAAAAGTTATGACATTTTTCTTTTATATTTCTTTGAGAAAGAGAGAGAGAGGGTGGGTTGCTGCTCTCTGATTCCCTCCCCAATGCCCAGGAACCAGGAACTCCATCCAGGTGTGGCACATAGTAGCAAGGACCCAGTCCCTGGAGCCTCAGCCATTGCCTTCCATGTTGTGGGTTTGTGTGACCTAGATGCAGAGCTGGGCCTCAAACACAAGCTTTACATAGAACAAGGAGAATTGTAGGATGGGGTTTTTGCCTTTCTGTGACTTTGCTTTTCCACTCAGCATTACTATTAAGGTTTATCCATTTTTGCCGGGTGCAGGTTATTCTAGTTTGTAAAATGAACTAGATAATGTTTCCCTTTTTTGTTTCGTGCAAAAGAGTTAGTGTTGGATTGGAATTACTTGGTCTTGATTTATTTGAAAGGCAGAGTGAGAGAGGGAGAGAGAGGGAGCAAGAGATGACCTGTTCACTGGTTCTCCCTCCCGATGGGGCTGGGCCAGACTGAGGGCAGGAGCCAGGCCCTCCGTCCTGGTCTCCCATGTGGACGGAGGGGCCAGCAGTTGGGCCATCTTCTGCTGCCGGCCGGTGGAGCAGATGGGATACCGACTTCCCAAGCAGTGGCTTAACCCATTCCTCCAAAATGTTCACTCCTTCTCCCGGTTTGTAAAACAGATTAAGGTGCAACGTACAGGCAGCGAAATGCCCGCTGGTGACCATGTGGATCGGTGTCTTCCTGCGTGTGTGTCGCTGTGAGTAGCTTTGCCCGTGTGGGATTTGCTGTAAGTGGGAGCCATGCAGCTTGTGGCCATTTGTATCTGGCCAGTTTACTCCAAATTCATTTTTTTTTCAAAGCATCATCTAAATTGTGTGTGATTTGTTTTTTCTTCTAGTGCTTGCAGGCATTGGGTTGTGGCTAAAGTTGCTGTGAGCATCCTTGGTCAGTTCTTGGTGCTCTCCTACCTTGGATGGGATCACGCATCAGGAGCGTGCCGGCTGGCCAGGGCTGTGACTCAGGGCTGTCTCATCCCTGCCGAGCCACTGTCGGTGTGTGAGGGCTCCCGTGGCCCCAAGTCCTTGCCGGCACTTAACACGTGTCTGTTTACCCATCCTCATCATTGCTTCGTTCGGCTTTGCCTGATAAATAATGATGCAAACGCCTTTTGCATTCACATCTGACATTCAGAGGTTTTATTTTTTTTCCAAGTTTGTGCAACTCTAGCTTGATTTTTAATTGCATTATTCTCTTAGTAAGCTTTGCAGTTCTGCATGCATAAAAGTCCTTTGCCATATGTGTACATATTTTTAATAGAAATTTTCAGTGTTGATGAGATCCAGTTTATTGAATTTTCAGTATGTGTATCTTTAGAGCTCATCAAAATATTTACTTGTTCTAATGTCCTGGAGATTGAAAAAAAAAAAAAATGAGAACATCCGTGAGTGGCGCTATGTCTGATTCTGTCCTCCGGCCATCGATCTGTCTGCCCCCGTCATGCTGTTGTATATTATTATTGTAGCTTTATGGTCAGTCCTGAAGAGATGTGTCAGGCTCTCCAACTTCATTCTTCTCAAATTGTGTTTGCTATTATACATCTTTGTCATTTCTAGATGAATTTCCACCCCCTCAGGCCTGTTAATGGCTCATTCCATTTTGAGATTAATAATGTTGTCCTATTTATATGCTTAGGCTATCTTTAATTTCTTCTGGCAGTGTTTTATAGTTCAGTAGAAGCTATATATAGTATAGATTTTATACTATTGAAGCTAATATAAATTGTATAAATTTTGGTATTTAACTATAGACATATAATTGGCTTCCATTCACTTGTTATGCTGCCTTGCTAAATCTGTCCAACTTTATGGAATTGTTAAATACATAATAATGTCTTCTGTGAATGAAAGCAGTCTTGCTTTTTTTTTGCCTGACAGGTTTTTCTTGGGCTGCTAGTCTGAACTGTAGTGCTGAGAGGAGGCTCCCACAGGGTCTCCCACATGGGTACAGAGCCCAAGTACGTGGCCCTCGTCTGCTGCATCAGCAGGTGGCTGGGTTGCAAGAGGAGTGGAATTCTGTTCCAAACCCTCCGATACAGGGTGCAAGTGGTCATGCAGCAGCTGACCCACTGTGCCACAGGGCACACCTAGATTCCCTCCCTCTGATATAGGGTGCAAGTGGTCATGCAGCAGCTGACCCACTGTGCCACAGGACGCACCTGGATTCCCTCCCTCTGATATAGGGTGCAGGTGTCCATGCAGCAGCTGACCCACTGTGCCACAGGATGCACCTGGATTCCCTCGCTATGATACAGGGTGCAGGTGTCCATGCAGCAGCTGACCCACTGTGCCACAGGACGCACCTGGATTCCCTCCCTCTGATATAGGGTGCAGGTGTCCATGCAGCAGCTGACCCACTGTGCCACAGGGCACACCTAGATTCCCTCCCTCTGATATAGGGTGCAGGTGTCCATGCAGCAGCTGACCCACTGTGCCACAGGGCGCACCTGGATTCCCTCCCTCTGATATAGGGTGCAGGTGTCCATGCAGCAGCTGACCCACTGTGCCACAGGGCGCACCTAGATTCCCTCCCTCTGCTTCAGGATACAGATGCCCATGCAGCAGCTAAAGCACCGTGCCACAGGGCACACCTGGACTCCCCTAGATGCACGTGTATGAACTTTCCTTTGTAAGCTTGTGGATGTTCTGATCTGGCGTTGGAGAGAGACTTGTATCCGGCAGGCTAGGGGTAGAGCCGCAGACCTGCCGCTCATCTCCCATAGAGGATCCTGCTAACCATGACCTCCTGTGCTGGGCATTCTAGCCACCCCCTGCACCTTGGCCACACACCGCTGGGGCCGGCACCAGCCTCTTGACGCTTTCTCTGCTCCTACAGCATCCTACCTCTCCTGTGGTCTACCTGTATGACAGAGGGAGAGCCCTAGGTCTGTGCCCTCCGTGGAGCAGTAGAGGAGAGGACTCAGCTGTGAGTTCTTACCAGCAGCCGAGAGAGCTGCACTTGAACTGGATGGCAACAGGGTTGATATATTTCCTGTGAGTGATACTTTCCAAATGAGCTCATTATTACCAGCAAAGCACACTTGTGTTACTTTCAATGGTTTCATTCCTATTGTTTCCTGGCTGTTACAACTTAGTATTTCTAATGCCTGTATTTCTCCCTCCTGCTGACAGAAATGAGTCTAGCACAACCATTCTAGAACCATCCTATCGTCCACCTGCGGGGAGTTACTGCTCCTCCCGCACATCCCAGTAGTTATGCCATGAGGGGCCTTTATTGTTAATTACAGATAGAATCAAAATAGTGTTTTTGTAGGAAAACTGGCAAGTTCTTTTAAGACATGTTAAGGGCCTGGTGTGGTGGCCTAGCGGCTAAAGTCCTCACCTTGCACGTGCCAGGATACCATATGAGTGCCCAGGTTCTAATCCTGGCAGCCCTGCTTCAATCCAGCTCTCTGCTTGTGGCCTGGGAAAGCAGTCAAGGACAGCCCAAGGCCTTAGGATCCTGCACTCATATGAGAGACCTGGAGGAAGTTCCTGGTTCCTGACTTTGGATCAGCTCAGCTCCGGCTGTTGTGGTCACTTGGGGAGTGAATCATCAGAGGATCTTCCTCTCTGTATATCTGATTTTGCAATAAAAATAAATCTTAAAAAAAAAAGACATGTTGAAATTTGGGTTTGGCATGGTAGCTCAGTTGGCTAATCCTCCCTTGCAAATACCAGGATTCAGTATGTGTGCCAGTTTGTGTCCCAACTGCTCCACTTCCCATCCAGCTCCCAGCTTGTGGCCTGGGAAAGCAGTGAAGGATGGCCTAAAGCCTTGGGACCCTTCACCTGCATGGGAGACTCTGAAGAAGCTCCTGGCTCCTGGTTTTGGATCTGCTCAGCTCTGGCCACTTCAGGCCATTTGAGGAGTGAACCAGTGGATGGAAGATCTATCTTCCTTTGTCTGTAAATCTGTCTTTCCAACAAAAATAAATAGATCTTACACAGAAACATGTTGAAATTCCATTTTCTGAACTCTCAAGTAGGGAACTCATATTCTTATGTGTTTGTAGGTTAGCATGGCTTCGTTGAAAGAGCTGGACCAGAGACTCTTTGAAAACTACATTGAGCTGAAAGCAGACCCCATTGTGGGCTCCTTGGAACCTGGAATTTATGCCGGATACTTTGACTGGAAAGACTGCCTGCCTCCAACAGGTAAGTGAAGGACCTGCGGTACTCTGGTCCAGCGTGACTGTAGGGGTCGGGGTGGGTGTGCCTTCCCTGGCAGGTGAAGGGCCTGTGGTCCTCTGGTCCAGCGTGACTGTAGGGGTTGGGGTGGGTGTGCCTTCCCTGGCAGGTGAAGGGCCTGTGGTCCTCTGGTCCAGCGTGACTGTAGGGGTTGGAGTGGGTGTGCCTTCCCTGGCAGGTGAAGGACCAGGTCCTCTGGTCCAGCGTGACTGTAGGGATCGGGGTAGGTGTGCCTTCCCTGGCAGATTTATGTCAGCAATGCTTTTCTTTTGATTTGCATTTTGGATAAAGGTAAGAAGATTAATTTGATTTTTGACTTTTTGCTGGCTTACATCCACTTCTGATAGTTTGCAATGTGCAACATTATTCCGGGTTAGTGGCTTAAAGTTATTCTCGAATTCCAGAGAAGAATCATCTGCTACTCCTGGCAAAAGTTGATGATGATAGTTACATTTCCTTCCTTCCTGTGACACCCCTTCTCTGCGTAGAATGACCGTGAGTGACCGTTTTATGCCAGGACCTTGTGACCACCATCATTTATTTAAGAGCTCTAACCTCTTCCGTGTTAAGACCTAGTTTTGGATGCTCGGAAAGGCGAAGGATGGAGGAAAAATGTGTCGGGGTGAGATGAGCGTAGAGTTGGCGAGGAAAGCTACTGGAACCACTTCATACACGTGTTTGTAGGTCATCACTGCCTTCTGCATTGAATATCAAATAGTTATTTCTTTGCATGAAACAGTGGGGAGTACACACAAGCAAACCCCCTGTTAACGTTTTCTGTAGATGTGGTCCTGTGTAGAAATGGCTAAACTCACAGTAACTACAGGGTCTGTTAGGATGGATGCACCGGGGAGTTACTAACGGATTTGGCTCAGTCACCCTTCTTCGGACTAAAGCCGTGCAGTCACCGCTGGTTTTCATTGTGGCAGCACTTTGGTTGGATGGCGTTTACATTGCTGGTTTTGTGCCTCTGGCGTTTGTTGTGTAGTGTTTGCATGCAGGGCTGCCAGAAGGCTCGCCTGAACAATCGTAGTTATGACATTCACGGTAATCCATGCAGCCAGAGCTGCTTTTCTGATTTTTCTGAGATGAACGTTCTTGTAGTCATATGAGTCCTTGATCTCCGGCTAGCTTTCTCCCCGTGAACCCATTGCTTTGCTGTTGGGAGCCAGTGGCCATCCCACGTGCGTCTCTTTCATGTGTAAATCACATCCTTCTAGTATCTTGCTTAGAATTCCTGTAGTCTGTTCTTCCCATCTCGCTGTCTTTGGCCTCCTCTGCCTCTGTCATGCTGAAAAGCTCCAACTTGTCCAAAAGGAAGTGGATCCTCTCTGCCTCCCTGCCTAACAGGTCCTCAGGGGGGCTGTCACTCTGGAGTGGGTGCTCAGGCCTGTGCCAGCTGCGGCTCACCTCCTCCCAGGCAGCAGGCAGCAGGCAGGACCTGCCCAGTCCCTGCTCACCCTGACATCCATCCAGACTTGCTGGGCCCAGCATCCCCTGGAAAGCCCCTCCGCGACAACCACCCAGCTCCCTGTGTCCCAGGGTGGGTTGACACCTCCACCTTGTGCATGGAGGACATATTACTGTGTCCTTGCTGGACAGCCCAGGGGCAGGGGTGGGCTTTCTCACACCTGCCCTCCCAGTGCTTGGCACAGCCCTGACCCACAGATGAGTGAAGGCTACTTGCTTAGCAATCTGCAGCCTCGTGAGGATACACGTCACTGCTTAGTCTGTCTTCCAAGTGTCTGCTCGATGGTGCACACTAGCTTTTTGTCAAGATTGGGATTTGCTGAATTGAGTTAAAGCACCTACCTGAGCTCTCATTTCCTTCTGTGGATTTCCCAGTGGAAGCTGCGTCTACATCCTGTAGAGCAGGTGCACTGCAGTCAAAGGCACTCAAGTGTATCTGACACACAGGCAGAGCAGTGCTTTGCTCAGAGACTGCTTAAAAACTCCTACGTTCCTCAGTGATCAGCAAGTCTCAGACATCAGCCATTAGCACCTGACGGGTGGGTATCCCAGGGGATGAAGGTACTTGGCGATGTTGCTTTGAGACTCAGAGGCCTCAAGACACCAGGGCTCCGGTTACCCTCCCAAGTCGGGATCATTCACCAGAAATGGGGGGCTCCCTCCCATCCGTCTTCCTGGAGCTCTCCCTATTCCCCAGAGAAACGGGGGTTACTTGCCACTGAAGCCAGAATGGACTCTGTCCTCTCTGCCAGCCCTCTCCTGCTGTGTCCCAGCCAGGTTCCCTTAGTGTGGCCCACGTGGCAGGAGAGAATTCCTGAGGGTGTGGGATTCCTCTCAGCGGCCTACATCATAAAGGGGTATCCTTGGAAACGAGACATCCATGTGTGATGGCCTGTACCCCCGGGGACATTATTAAGGCACAGTGGTGTGGCTGTTGGTAAGTGGCTGTTGGTCCTGTGACAGGGAATCACTGGGAGTTACCAGGAAGAACAGGTGTGTTCAGTAGCAATGCTAAATCAATATTAGGAGATCTTCGATTTCCATTGCATCCAGCTAAATGAAAAACTTGAGAATTTGCCAGTTCTCAATTGTGATGTATCTACTTAAGGCATTAAAAGTCCTTTCTCTATTGTCTTTGTGTATTTTTTTTTTTTTGAAGATTAGTTTATTTTACTTGAAAGCAAATCAGAGAGAGGAGAAAATCTTCCATCCAGAAATCAACACAAGAGCCAGGAGCCGCTGCCAGGGTGAGGAGCCAGGAGCTGCTGCTGGCCTCCCCTGTGTGTGCAGGGTCCCGAGGACCCGGGCCGTCCTCTGCTGCTTTCCCAGGTCATCAGTGGGGAGCTGCAAGGGAAGTAGAGCAACCGGGACTAGAACCGGTGCCTACAGGGGATACCGAAGCTGCAGGGCCCCCTTGGTGTGTTTTTAACCATTACACTGGGGCCCGGCACGATAGCATAGTGGTTAAAGTCCTCGCCTTGCATGCGCCAGGATCCCATGTGGTCGCCGGTTTTGGTCCCAGCAGCTCCACTTCCCATCCAGCTCCCTGCTTGTGGCCTGGAAAAGCAGTGGAGGACATCCCAAACCCTTGGGATCCTGCACCTGCATGGGAGACCAGGAAGAGCTCCTAGCTCCTGGCTTCATATCGGCACAGTACCGGCCATTGCGGTCACTTGGGGAATGAACCATCGGACAGAAAATCTTCCTCTCTGTCTCTCCTCCTCTCTGCGTATCTGCCTTTCCAATAAAAATAAATAAATCTTTTGAAAAAAATAATCATTACACTGAGGTACTGCAAACCAAGGATAGCAGTCAGGATTCTCAACATTGGTCTTCACGGTAGCGTGTTGCCTCGTGGAATTCCCTGATACAAATTGCAGTTCTGCTGACCGACTGACGGTAGGTGGCGGGCCTTTGTTAGATTTAGCCCAGATTTTCTTTTTGAAATAAACTTTCTTTCATAAGCAAGTAGTGTATGAGACCATAATACCAGCAACTTGTTTGCACTTTCTGCAGATTCCAGAGGCATTTAGGGCCCTCAGTGTCTTTCACTTTTCTAGACTCTATCTGGTTCTGTTCTTCGTGTCATTTGCTCCACTCTTACTAACCGGGCCTCAGCCTGGCATAGTCATACAGTGATTGTTAGTTTGTTTAACGTTGACTTAAATTGATACTTCATGTAAAGTGAACAACCAAAATACTTTAACTATTAATCTTCCAACATAATTTCAATTAACGTCTTCAGTATTATCTTTAGAATGTTCGTCTCCCCAAGCTGAGTTCTGCAGATCGCACAGGTAACTGGTTACTTATTGCTATAGTTAACAATAAATTTAGTTTCCGATTCTGTCGGTAGTGATTAAAAAAAAATCCGGTTGATTAATTTCATGATTCAAGAACAGATATCCGTTAAAGCGGTAGCTCTGGTTTTTTTTTTTAACCTGACAGTTGGCTATTTAAATTGTCACCTCTTTGTGTATATGTCAGTAAGGATGATTCTATAGTTCTGAGTCACATAACTGATTTTTAAAGCCAACTTTTTATTTCAGAATAGTTTGAAATTTATAAAACAAAAAACTAAGAAGTGGTACAAAGAGTACCCATTTATCCCACGCCCAGTTCCCTCTAAGGTTGACATCTCATTTTAGCTTTATTTTTTTTTTTAAATGAATGAGCCACATACAGCTTCCCTTATTGTTTCCAATCCAAATCCCCTCCCTCCCTCCCTTCCAGCACCGCCCCCTGCCATCCTCAGCCTCTGCGTCCAGGTGGAGATGTTCTGCTTGGGGCTCCCTTGAGTGAAGGAGAACTCAGACCGTGTCTGTGCCGGGCTCATTTCCCTTAGTCCCATCCTGTTTGCTCCAAGGGACAGCAGTTCTTTTCCTTTCCTGCTGTGTGTGTGGGATCATGTTTTCTCTATCCATTCCTCTGACGGTGACACCGTAGCTGATGCCCTGCCTTGGCAGCTGTGAACAGTGCTGCCATACGAACCGTGAGGCAGGCATCTCTTTAGCTCCACGTATTCTTGTGTCTCAGAGTCATACCCAGCATGGGGATTATTGGCCCGTACGGTGGTTCGGTTTGGGTTTTTAAAGAAGTGGCTGTGCTGTGTTCTGCACAGGCTGCCCTCATGTACTTCACTTGGAAGGGTTCCCCTTACCCCACGTCCCAGCCAGCATTTGCTGGTCTCTGTCGTTTGGGTAGTAACATCCTGGCAGGGCTGTGGTAATGGTTCCTTGTGGTTTTGGTCTGCATTCTCCTGATGATCGTGTGTCTGTTGGCCATTGGTATTTCTCTGAGAATCGTTTGGATCCTTTGCTCATTTCTTAGCTAGGATGGTTACTTGTTATTTTTGAGTTTTCAAGTTCCTAAAATACTAGGCATGCATAATCCTTTGCCAGGAAAGTGCCGGGCACCTACAGGAGTTTTCTTGCATGCTATCAGACGTGTCTCTATTGACTGTTTCCTTGTTGATAGACCCTTGTGTAGTGGAGTGC